TAAGGGGGTGTAGGGGGGTGTAGGGGGGTGTAGGGGGGTGTAGGGGGGTGTAGGGGGGTGTTGGGGGGTGTTGAGAGTATTTGAGTGGTTTGGGTGGTTTGGGTGGTTTGGGTGGTTTGGGTGGTTTGGGTGGTTTGGGTGGTTTGGGTGGTTTGGGCAACGACCGCTGCTACAGAATGGTGTCTGTTCAGTTGACTAGCAACGCTGCTCTTGGGGTGGCTGGGGGAAGCACCACCTGTCAGGAACAATCGGGAGCATTGGGGGGAGGTTTACGCAGGTTCCAACAGTAACCGAAAAGAAAAGACAACAGCTCCCGTGACTCCCTTGACTCCCTTGACTCAACCCACCTGAACGCAAGGCGGCGGGCTTCGCAATCCGGAGAACAAGACAAACTTCGCCGACCTCCGCGCCGGCCTTATCCTTGATTTGATACCACCGCACCACTGTGCCGCCCTGCAGCTGCGCTGCCACGTTGACATCACACGTGGCCAGCACCTCGTCACCTGTGTCAGGTGAGCCAAGTGCGATCTGTGTGTGTGCGTGTGTGTGGGAGGGGGGGGGGGGGAGAAAGAGAAAGAGAGGGAGTAGAAAAGCTTGGTTTTGAACAGCCAGCAGCAGAGAAGCATGGCTCTTGAAGCTCCTCAGACTACCCCTGGCCAGCACCTCGTCGCCTGTGTCACAGAAGTCACTGGCCAAGCGCGATCTGTGGATAGGAGGCGGAAGAGCGAGAGGGAGACGAGAGAAGATTGTGATTTTAAGTGCCAGTAGAGAAGCTTGGCTTTGAAGCGCCTGGAATCACACGTGGCCAGCACCTCGTCGCGTGTGTCAGGTGAACCAACTGCGATCTGTGTGTGAGTGTGTGTGTGGAAGAGAGAGTGGGAAGGGAGAGGTAAAGACTGAGTCGTCTGGGAAATCTGGAAAGCTAAACCCAGAATCTTCACATCATGCGGCATTTTCAAGTGGATTACGCTTGAGGCACAGATAACACGGTTGAAATCTGAGATCGATAACAAAACTGGCCTGCATAATGCCGTCGCCTGGCTGTGGCAGAGAAGCAGCACGAGAGTAGTCCTTTGAGACGAACAAAATTGACTTCTGTGTCGACTCAGAACTGACCTGGAGACTACCATCGCCTGGCTGCGGCAGTGAAGCAGCAGGCGAGCAGTCCATCGAATCGACCCAAAACGATTTCTGCGTCCACTCAGAACTGACCTGAACGATCGCGTTGCCTGGCTGCAGGGAAGCACCAGACGAGTAGTCCAGAGGAATCTTGAAGTCCTGATGTTTTAGACGTCTCAAAAAGCAAGGTTGAGACATGAGACCTAAGAACGTAACTGACCTGAACGATCGCGTTGCCTGGCTGCGGCAGGGAAGCACCAGGCGAGTAGTCCAGAGGAATCTTGAAGTCCTGAAGCCACTTGGGGGCCGCTCCCGTCTTCGCTGCTGTCTTCACCTGCGCCAAATTTGCGGAGTAAATTAAGAAAAATGAAAAGAGAGCGCTTTTAATGTCAACTCTGAAGCCACTTGGGGGCCGCTCCCGCCTTCGCTGCTGTCTTCACCTGCACCAAATTTGCGGAGTAGATTAGGAAGGTTGAACGGAGTGCGCTTTTAATGTCAACTCTGAAGCCACTTGGGGGCCGCTCCCGTCTTCGCTGCTGTCTTCACCTGCGCCAATGTGCGGATTCGAAAATAGAGGCATATCTCGAGCAAGCCGAGCCAAGCATGTGAATGTATCATCGCACTTGCATCAAAAGGAAGAGATAAATGAGAGAAATGTTACGTTTGCCACGACGTCATGACTTTCGAGTGGATTCAACAGTCACTTGGAGAAAACCACGTGGGTTCACATCGTCGCGTTCACTTCCGATGGAGGCTCGCGTAAGCAATCTGTTTGCGAGCCGCCTCGCCTCAAAAGAAGGACGCGAGAGGATTTTTTGAGAATTTTCCAAAGCCGCCTCGCCTCAAAAGAAGGACGCGAGAGGAATTTTTGAGAATTCTCAAAAGCCGCCTCGCCTCAAAAGAACGACGCGCGAGGAATCTCCTCGCCTTCGTAGTTTCCCAGCAGTGATCTTATCAAGACGAGCATCTTCTGGAAACAAATTGAACGTCGCGCAATGTTCAACGGGTGCAAGCAAATATGGTTGGCGTGAACTTCCCTCATCATAATGTTACATGCATTCCTATCGTCTTTTTATCTGAAAGGTTTCGACTGAGACGGGCAATGTGGGTATTGTGAACTGCCATGTGACCTACATGGAGCAGAAAACAAATCTCAATAATTGGGAGAAAAAGGAAGGGGGAAGGGGGAGGGGGGAAGTACCTGGTTCTTTCCCTGAGAGAGCGACAGAGTGGCTCCGCCTTTGTCCTGCACGCCGCCTGGAAGCTGCAAGTTCCGGCCCTGAACCACTGACACTTGCAGCACGGTCGCGTCGGGGGAAGGCGACGGGGAGTCGGCCCCATTGATTGCAACCATTGTCCTTCAATGAAGTATAACGGAACTTTCAGCGCTTCGCACGGAGATAACAGGAAGAAAGCAGCCAGCTCGGTTAGGGAGACTAACTGCTCCTCCTAACAATACTTTCCGTGCCTTGGAGCCTCGCACTGCCGAGCAAATCGTTGACAAGTCTAAAAAATAGCCTGGTCTAAATCAATGTCTATTCCACCAAGCGAAGCTTCTAGTGCCTCGCGGCTGTATTGCAGAGCAAGTCGTGAAGGCACACGTCACGCGCCTTATATATTATTATACGGCCAGATTGCTGAACGGAGATAAGTTACCGTCGCTGGGGGCGAAGACGGGAGCGGCCGCACTGAACGCCTCGAAAACGCGAAAATAGTCTAAGCGAGCGGCTAAAGGCGATGCGACGCGAATCGTGTGGGAGCAGAAGAATGGATTAAAGGGCAGGCGGCTCGAAAGCAGACTATCACTATGAATGTAACGAGGTTCTATTAACCATTAAGTTACTATCAAATACTTTAGGTGCTTTTGACGAGAAGTAGCACATCTCACAGACAAGAAGCCAACTCCGTTAACGTGCATTCTGGAAGCTGAAGAGGAGTGGGAGTAGCGAAAGGCGAAAGTTTGGAACGAGCATCAGTGAGTGAGGTCTTATTGATAACCTTCAGCGAAGATAGCGGCTGAGGTGCAGACACGCATCAAAGCTGTCTTGTTGCCTTGCCTACACGCAAAACAAGCATGAATGTAGTGAAATGCAAAACAGCACAGCAGGACAAATTCTCCCTTCCTGTCATCCCTGAGGGCGCGTCACCTCTCAAGCAGTCGGCCAAAATTCGAATGCTGTCACTATTTTTCGGTGCCCGAACAGCACAATTCCGATGTTCGAACAAGATTTGAAAATTTGGTGAAAGGTGACGGTGCGTCACATGAAGTGACAGGTGTGTTCGAAAATGCGACGTCGCCTGTCGTGCGACGTCGTACAACCGTCGTCAGAAGATTTTGATTGCATAACGACATAAAAAGGCAGTCGTAAGATACCTGGAAACTTCTTCGTGCAATTCGTGGGCGTCGTATGTGCTTATCCCGAATTGCATTCGAACGAACTCATTCGAACAGCAAGCGCGAAATCACTCGTGCTGGATGTGACAGCTCTGTTCGATTTAGCGACGTTTCTATTTGCGAACTAACGAGGACTCAACGAACTGCTTGCGAATATAGGCGAGACGTGTAACATGTCGCTTGTTCGAACAAAGGGCTTTGTTCGAATTTAGAGGTGACGCGCCCTGATAGTCCAGCAACAATGATGCAATGAGAGGCGGCGAAAAGGCGATGAACAGCTGAATGGTGGACAAGGGACACTACACAATTCAAGATGGATGTTCCCTTGGTTTGGTGTGCTTGGCTGCGCTGACGTGTCCGCGTTTGAGTGAGCGAAATCCTTCCAACCTTGACGGGCCGAACCGCGAATGTCATCCAGGAAACCCAATCCCAAGGTCCTCGCCAGCCTGACGCGGCGCAGGGACAAGGCGGCGGGTGAATCTGTCTCGAGAGACTGGTTCGTCCCATGCCCGAACCATCTGCTCGTGGCTAGGTCTGAGGTTGGTTGGGACTCTGGAAGAGAGAGGAACTCCCCTCTAACAACATTCCCTCTGTGCTGTAAGGTATGGGTTACAGAGGTTAGTACAGTTTGGGGGAATGGTTGAGGTTACGGTGTCTGCTCTCATGCGCCAATTTCGCCCGTTATTGACAACGTGCAGTATAAGGAAAACCCGCGAAACGTTCTGTAGTGCTGTATCAGCCAATCACCACCTCCCTGACACCCCAAACCGAGAAGAACAGTGAGGTTCGAAACTGGTCAGGCAAAAACCACAGCGAACCTTTTTCAACGGTAAAGATCGCTCGTAGTTTCAGCAGCCCAAGATGTGCGGCTAGTGTTGCCTCGGCATATACCTAGAGTTCGTTCGCAAACGGTTGCACATATGACTGACGATGAAGACTCTCTAAAGGTCGGTTACGATGCCCATTCAGTTAAATCACGGTTGAGATTGATGCGTTACGGTTGCAAGTGGCAACGAGCGAGAAAACATATCGTGAAGTGAAGCTTTGGCACCGAATCTTGCTGTTCTGAAAACCCCAAAAAACTTTGAGAACCGTATTGTAGCCCGTTCTGACACCCAGAGATCCCAAAATGCTCTACTTCAATCTAGTCCCCTCATCAATCTTTCCCTCCTTGCTGGAGGCTCTGGCCTGAAGTTATGGCTCCTAAGCATTTTGCGAGCAACGGAGAAAATCTCTGCGGGTAGTCGTGGTCTCGCTAGAGATCTGTTTTTTTCATGGGTGATGCCAAACTAAGTCACTGGTTTCCCTTCTTCCGGTAGTTGTTAATCGGCCGCCAGTCCCCAAACAGGCGATCACATTAGGAGAGAAACAGTTACTATCGCTAAGCTTTGAAGCACCATTTCAGGCATTTCCTTCTATTTCCGATTGATCCATAATGGCGTCCGCGGAGGAGCTAAAGGCGGAAAACACCCGCCTTCAAGCGGAGATGCAGTCCATGAAAAAGAAGATCGTTCTAGCTCTCAAAAAGCAGCAGGCGGAGCTTCAATCGAAAGTCCAGGAGGCCGAGCGAGCGCGGGACGAGGCTCTAAAGCGAGCTGAAGCCGCGGAATCAGGAGCTTCTAACGGAGATGCGTCTAAAGGAGCGGATCCGGCCGCACTGCAGCAGCTGCAGGACCAACTCAATGCGTCGCAGCAGGAACTGAAAATGCTAAGGGAAGAGTACGTGGTCGCGAGCGAGAAGTTGAAGGCTGCGGAAGACCAGGTCAGATCAGCGGAGGAGGAGAGAAAGAAAGCCTTGGACGACGCGAATGCGGCTCAGAAGAGCCTTCGCGCGTCGAAAGAGGAGGTTCAGATGGTCCGCGAGCAATGGACGGCGGCGCAAGGCGCGCTGATGACCACTCAGGAGGAGCTTAGCGGTCTGCAGGAGCAGCTGCGGAAGGCGCAGGGGGAGGCGCGGGAGGCGCAGGAAGGGCGCGCGGCGGCGCAGCAGGCGCTGCAGGCGCTGGGGGAGCGGGTGAAGGCGGCGGAGGCGGAGAAGCAGAGCGATCAGGCGGAGCAGCGGCGCGCGCAGGAGGTTGTGGCGCGCGCGGAGCAGCAGCTGAAAGCCGCGCAGGCGGAGCGCGAGAAGGCGATGGAGGCGCTAAGTGCTGCTCGGAGAGAGCTGGAGGGTTCTCGGGCAGACGGGGAAGAGATGGCCGGGCAGCTGAAAGCAATTCAGGTGGAACTGGAAGCTTCGAAGGAAGATGGGAGCAAGCTGCAGGCGCTGGTGGCGGACTTGCAGAGGAAGCTTCCTGCGGTGGAGCAGGAGAAGGAAGGGCTGAGAGGGGATAAGGAGAAGATGGAATCGGAGATTAAAGCGCTAAGGGATGAGCTCGAGGGTCTGAGACACGGGAAGGAAGCTTCGCTGGAAGAGCTGCGTGCTCAAGTCGAAAGCTCCCGGAAGGAGCTGGGGGAAGTCAAAGCGGAGCTGGAGAAGGCGAAGGAGGAGGTCGGAAAGGCTCAATGCGAGGCGACGAACAAGGGCGCGCAGGTAGAGGAGTTGCTTCAGGCGCAGGAGGCGCTTCAGGGGGAGATTGAGAAGGCCAAGGCGGCGGCAGCAGAAGCGAAGGAGGAGGCTGGAAAGGCTCAGTGCGAGGCGACGAATAAAGGGGCGCAGGTGGAGGAGCTGCTTCAGGCGCAGGCGGCGCTTCAGGGGGAGCTTGAGCAGGCCAAAGCGGCGGAAGCTGAAGCCCAGGAGGAACTGGGGAAGGTGCGATGTGAGGCGACGAACAAAGGAGCGCAGGCAGAGGAGTTGCTTCAGGCGCAGGCGGCGCTTCAGGGGGAGGTTGAGAAGGCCAAGGCAGCGGCAGCAGAGGCGCAGGAAGAACTGGGGAAGGTGCGATGTGAGGCGACGAACAAGGGCGCGCAGGTGGAGGAGCTGCTTCAGGCTCAGGCTTCGCTGACAGGCGAGGTGGAAGAGGCGAAGGCTGCAGCAGCTAGGGCAGCGGCAGCGGCAGCAGAAGCAGAGGCGGCGCTTCAGGCGCAGCTGGCAGAAGCGAAGAAAGAAGTTGCCAGGTGGGTTGCTAGTAACGAAGTAAAGAAAATGCAAAAAGAAGTCGACTAGGGCTCCAGACGTCTCACAGCTCAGCGCTATGTCTTCAGACCTCCCAGCGCCAGGTGAATTCTCGATTATTCGATCATCCCTAATGGCGAACGAGCTTTGGCCGATTGTCAGTGATGTTTCGTTCATTCATGTGTAATGGATGATGATCATTGATCTTGTGCAGATGGATGCTTGTAAGATGTGACTGTAACATGTGTTGGCTCGGTCTCCTCTGTTGTACCATGCGTGTCTGTGCTGCTGCAGCCTTACATCGCAGCTGAAGGGCATGCGAGGGGCCATGGATCATGTGCAGAAGGCTGCATCGGAGAAAGAGGAGGTACTTGAGATGTATCATGTATGTGCGTATGGAGACATGCGATACCATTTTCTTTTCCTTCATCTTCTTCTTAAAACAACGTGTCCCCCCACAGTCCCTTTTCCAGTCCTCAGACCCTTTTTCCCTAGCAGTTGCTCATAATCTCAAGACGGAATCCCCGTAGTATCTTTCTGTGTTTTCTTCTTACTTCTTACTCTCTTGCCTTGCGTCCCTCCCGAAACCTCAACCCCCATCCCTCGTGCTATCTAAGGATTCTCGTCACATACTAAACATTCTTCTGTTCTAAACCATCACGATTGAAATTCTCTTTCTTTGTCAACCCCTTGTCACCCAAACCAGAGCATGCAGAAAGAGCTGGCAGATCTCGCGGCAAAGTCAGATTCCCTCAAAGACCAGCTGGCAGCCGCGCAGGCTGAGCTGGCATCGACGAAATCCTCGCTGGAAAAGGAGATTCACGGAAGGGAGGCTGCGCAGAGAGAAGCAGAGGAGGCTCGAGCAGCGTTGGACTCTTTCCAGGAAAGTGCCGGAAAGGAGCAGCAGCAGGCGGGGGAGCTGTGGCAGCAGCTGCTAGACACGCGAAAGCAGGTTGCAGCAGAGATGGATAGGGCGGATGGGAGTGAGAAAGAGGCGGAGGGATTGAGGAAGAGGGTTGAGGGGTTGGAGAGAGTGGTTGAAGAGAAGGAGAAGGAAGGGGATGCTGTGAGGGGGGAGCTAGAGGGAGTGAGGGGGAGGTTAGGGGAGGTGGAGGGGAGGGTGAAGGAGTTGGGGGAGGAAGTTGCTGCGAAGGAGGAGGAGGTGGGTGGGCTGAGGAGGGAGTTGGAGGTTGCATTGAAAGCAGCTGAGGAGGCGAAGGAGGAGGGTGAGAAGGTAAGGAAAGAGGCTGAGGAGCTAAAGAAGGAGATTGATGTCCTAGTAGGGACGAAGGAGGCGGAGATCAAAGCCTGGGAGGAGGAGATTAAAGCCAAGGAGGAGGAGATTCGGGGGCTTAAGGAGCAGATGGAGCAGGCAGTAGCAGAGAAGGGATCAGGGGAGGCGGAGGCTGCTAGGATGGGCGAAGACAGGAAGGCGTTAGAGGGCCGGGTGGCGGAGCTTCAAGGGGAGCTAGAGAGGGCAAAAGCGGAGGTGGAGAGCGGTAAAGAGGAGTTGGAGAGGGCGAAAGGGGAAGCAGAGAAAGCAAAAGAGGAGGCGGAGAGCGTTAAAGGGGAACTCGAGAGTGTGAAAGAGGAGGCAGAGAGGGCGAAAGGGGAGGTGGAAAAGGGTGTGGTTGAAGTGGAGAAGGCGAGAGGCTCGCTTAAGGCAGCAGAGGAGAGGGTTAGAGAGCTGGAGGAGAAGGAGGGAGAGTGGGAAGGGAGAGATGCTGAAGTGAGAAAGAAACTGGAAGAAGCAGAAGCGGCTTTGGGTGTGGCTAAGGCTGAAGCAGCAGCTGCAGGGGCGGAGGCGGCAGGTGCAGCTGCGGCAGGGGCTGTGGCAGGAGAGGCGCGAGTGGCAGAGCTTGAAGAGGCGTTGAAAGTGGTGAAGAGGGAGAAGGAGCGGTTGGATGAGGAGTTGGAGGAGGCGTTGGGGAAGGCGAGGGAGGCGGAGAGGAGGAGCGAGCAGGCACAGGCAGAGATTGAGGCAGAGCGGCAGGGGATGAGGGAGAAGAATGAGAAGGAGAGTGCAGAGAGGGCGGATGGGGAGAAGAGAGTGAGTGAGCTCACAGCTGAATTGGAAGGAGTGAAGGCAAGGGCAGAAGCGGCTGAGCTAGAGGCAGGGAGGATGAGAGAGGAGGCGGAGAGGGGGAGAGAGCAGCTGGCTATGTCGGGCGGGGCGCAGGCTGAGGAGCTGGCGAAGGTGAATGCTGAGCTGGCGAAGGCGAACGCTGAGCTGGCGAGGGTGTCGGGTGAGCTGGCGCAGGCTGCGGCTGCCCGCGTGGCGGCGGAGGAGGCCGCTGCCAGGGTGGCGGGTGCTGCAGGGGAGGCGATGGGGAAGGCTGAGTCAGCAGAGAGTGAGCTGGCAACAGGTAAGGGCACATCTGCACGGCACCGCACGGCGACAGGTTGGAAGTTTGAAACATTCTTGCTGGTATCGTGCCTGCTGCTTTATTTATCAATATCATGTCTGATCCTTTCTTGATTCTTCCCTCTCGTTTTTTTCTAGGCCGTTTGATTTCTCACGGTTAGATAAGCTCTTGGGTGCTGTTCTGTGCGGTGCAATGCTCTGCGGTTTGGTGTGGTGTGGTGTGTGCGGTGCAGTACGCAGCAAGCTGGAGTCAGAGCTGAAGGCAGCAGAAGACAAGTACGCTGAGCTGGACAGCAAGTTCAACCGGCTTCAGAAGCGCGCCAAGCAGCGGATCCAGGAAGTTACCAAGGTATGGAACCACATAGATATGACTCAACAGGGTTTCCATCAGTAGGATTGAGTCCGCGTTTGAAGCAGAGGCAGAGGCACAGGCAGGGGCAGGGGCACAGGAGAGGCACAGGCAGGGGCAGGGGCAGAGGAGAGGCACAGGCAGGGGCATGGGCAGAGGAGCAGGAGGCATCACAGGAATATTTGGAGAGGGCCAAGGGGGTGGCAGCAGAGAGGCCGTCTTTTCTCCCCTTCCCCCCCCACCCTGTTCCCTGTTGTTCTCCCGTCACATGCAGGAGAAAGAGGAGGTGGAGAGGAAGCTCGGTGGCAGAGGAGAGGAAAGGAGAGGAAGCAGCAGGGGGTGCTGCAGGAGGATCTGTTTAGCCGATGTGCCTCTGTAACCCATCCCCTCGCACCTCTACCTTTTCTCTTTGCTGATATCACACCCTTGCAGGAGAAAGAGGAGGCGGAGAGGAAACTTGCAGAGGAGAAGAAGCAGCAGGCAGCGCTGCAGGAGGACCTGGAGAGAGCCAAGGGGGTGGCTGCAGAGGCGCAGCGCACGGCTGAGAAGGACAAGGAGCAGCTGAGGAAGACCAACGCGTCGTGAGTGCCTCTATTGTTTGGTGTGTCTGGTGTCGAGATGGACGCATGTACGTTCCAATATTCTCAGGGGCAGCAGAGGCGCAGCGCATGGCTGAGAAGGACAAGGAGCAGCTGAGGAAGACCAACGCGTCGTGAGTGCCTCTATTGTTTGGTGTGTCTGGTGTCGAGATGGACGCATGTACGTTCCAATATTCTCAGGGGCAGCAGAGGCGCAGCGCATGGCTGAGAAGGACAAGGAGCAGCTGAGGAAGACCAACGCGTCGTGAGTGCCTCTATTGTTTGGTGTGTCTGGTGTCGAGATGGACGCATGTACGTTCCAATATTCTCAGGGGCAGCAGAGGCGCAGCGCATGGCTGAGAAGGACAAGGAGCAGCTGAGGAAGACCAACGCGTCGTGAGTGCCTCTATTGTTTGGTGTGTCTGGTGTCGAGATGGACGCATGTACGTTCCAATATTCTCAGGGGCAGCAGAGGCGCAGCGCATGGCTGAGAAGGACAAGGAGCAGCTGAGGAAGACCAACGCGTCGTGAGTGCCTCTATTGTTTGGTGTGTCTGGTGTCGAGATGGACGCATGTACGTTCCAATATTCTCAGGGGCAGCAGAGGCGCAGCGCATGGCTGAGAAGGACAAGGAGCAGCTGAGGAAGACCAACGCGTCGTGAGTGCCTCTATTGTAGCGAGCAAGGAGCACTGTGCTTTTGAGTCGACTCAAAAGCAGTTTTGGTCTAGTCTGGTGTGTATGACTATGCTGTGCCTTCTGGAGGTTAATAGCGAGCAAGCAGAACTGTTTTCTCTCTCCTTCCCCTTCCCTAAACATATAACCCTTCCCCAGGCTAAAAGAGAAGGTGGACTAGCTGAGGCGGGCTTTGGAACTGAAGGAGCATAATCTCAAAGAGTCGAGGAGGCTGGCAGCAATGGCTTGAGCTGTCGAGCTCAGTGCAGGAGGATCGTTGAACCTTGAACTTGAAACCCTGTACCCTGCTCTCCCCTCCCCAGTCTGAAAGAGGAGGTGGACGAGCTGAGGCGGGCCCTGGAACTAAAGGAGCATAATCTCAAAGAATCACGGAGGCTGGCAGCAGGCAAGGAGCAGCCGTGGCTGGAGCTGTCGAGCTGTCCCCTCCCACCCATTCTCTAAACCTTAAACCCGAAACCCTGATCTCCAGGCTCAAAGAAGAGGTGGACGAGCTGAGGCGGGCTCTGGAGCTAAAGGAGCATAATCTCAAAGAGTCGAGGAGGCTGGCAGCAGGCAAGGAGCAGGCGTGGCTGGAGCTGTCGAGCTCAGCGCAGGAGGAGCGGGAGCTGAACCCTGTTGTGTTCCTGGGCCTTTTCCCCTTTCACCTCTCCCTGACCCAGACTGAAGGAAGAGGTGGACGAGCTGAGGCGAGCCCTGGAGCTAAAGGAGCACAACCTGAAAGAATCACGGAGGCTGGCAGCGGGCAAGGAGCAGGCGTGGCTGGAGCTGTCGAGCTCAGCGCAGGAGGAGCGGGAGCTGAACCCTGTTGTGTTCCTGGGCCTTTTCCCCTTTCACCTCTCCCTGACCCAGACTGAAGGAAGAGGTGGACGAGCTGAGGCGAGCCCTGGAGCTAAAGGAGCACAACCTGAAAGAATCACGGAGGCTGGCAGCGGGCAAGGAGCAGGCGTGGCTGGAGCTGTCGAGCTCAGCGCAGGAGGAGCGGGAGCTGAACCCTGTTGTGTTCCTGGGCCTTTTCCCCTTTCACCTCTCCCTGACCCAGACTGAAGGAAGAGGTGGACGAGCTGAGGCGAGCCCTGGAGCTAAAGGAGCACAACCTGAAAGAATCACGGAGGCTGGCAGCGGGCAAGGAGCAGGCGTGGCTGGAGCTGTCGAGCTCAGCGCAGGAGGAGCGGGAGCTGAACCCTGTTGTGTTCCTGGGCCTTTTCCCCTTTCACCTCTCCCTGACCCAGACTGAAGGAAGAGGTGGACGAGCTGAGGCGAGCCCTGGAGCTAAAGGAGCACAACCTGAAAGAATCACGGAGGCTGGCAGCGGGCAAGGAGCAGGCGTGGCTGGAGCTGTCGAGCTCAGCGCAGGAGGAGCGGGAACGCATGGCGGGGGCAGTGAGGGATGTGGAGGAGCGGATGGAGCGGATGGGGAAGGAGCAGGAGGCGCGGGCGGCGGAGCTGCAGCGGGAGCTGAATAAGGCTCTGGAGAGCAGCAGTGCGCTGCAGGTGAGAGAAGGGAGTGTGCTGCAGGTGAGAGAGAGCAGTGTGTGTGGTAGGAACAAGGTTCTGTTGCAGTTTAGTTTTGAGGCGCCTCAAAACTAGAGAGAGGAGCGAGTGTGGTAGGATGAAGGTTCTGCTGCACACGGGTCGGGGACGGGAAGGAGCAGGAGGCGCGGGCTTCGGCGCTGCTGAGGGAGGTGAATAAGGCCTTGGAGAGGTGACTTTTGAGTCGACTTCCAAAGTCAGCTGAATAAGGCCTTGGAGAGCAGCAGTGCGCTGCAGGTGTGGGCAGTGGTGTTCCTGGTTAGGGTAACCATGTGTTACAGGTTAGGGTAACCACTAGTAAGGGCTGAAAGCAGCAGTTAGTGACAACAGTGGAGATGCAGAGGGAGTTGAACAAAGTCTGGAGGATTGTGGTTAAGGCAACAGGGAGAAGTGGGATACAGGTGAAAGCAGTGGTGTTACATGTTTTGAGACGTCTCAAAAGTCTGCAGGATTGTGGTAAAGGCAACAGGGAGGAGCGGGATACAGGTGAAAGCAGTGGTGTTACGGGGTTATGATGGTACCCACTGACTTTTGAGTCGGCTTTTGAGCCGACTCAATAGTCACCGTGTTACGGGGTTATGATGGTACCCTCTGTAACCAACCAAATGTCCCCCCTTTCTCCACCCTCACTCGCTTTTCCCACTCCCTGCAGGTCCAGCTGTCGCAGAAAGAGCGCCAGCTGGCGGAGGTGGAGGCCGCCACGTCAGGCGAGCTGGCGCGGCTGTCGGCCACTCTGGAGGCGACACGTGGCGAGCTGCACCGGCTGGAGCAGAAGCTTCAGGAGGAGAGGAGCGGGTGGGAGGAGACGGTCGCTCAGCTGAAGAGGCGGGTGGAGGGGATGGAGAGGGGGAAGCGGATGCAGGAGGTGGCGATGCAGGAGGCGAAGGGGGCGTGGCAGGCGGAGGTGGAGGGGCAGAAGAAGGCCGTTGCTGCTGCTTTGGCGGATTTAGCTGCTGCACAGGCGGAGGTGAGTAGAGCAGGGGTTGGGGAGGGCTAGGCTTAGGGAGGGTATGGGATGCAGGGGGGGGGGCATTGCAGGAGGCGAAGGGGGCGTGGCAGGCGGAGGTGGAGGGTCAGAAGAAGGCCGTTGCTGCTGCCCTGGCGGATTTGGCTGCTGCACAGGCAGAGGTGAGGAAGGGAGAGGGGGAGGGGGGGTCGGCAGTGCAGTCAGGCAGAAGAAGGCCGTTGCTGCTGCCTTGGCGGATTTGGCTGCTGCACGGGCAGAGGTGAGGAAGGGTGGAGGCAGGGAAGGGGTGAGGAGGGCGGGGGGTGTTGTGGCGGGGGATCAGGTGCAGGAGGTAAATGGGCGTCTTACTCTCCCATGCCCTCCCGGCCCATACCCTCCCAGCCCATGCGTTTTCATGCCATTCCCATCAACTCATGCCCTACTCATGCCTACCTGCCTGCCTATGCCATGCCATGCCACGCCATGCCATGCCATGCCACGCCATGCCATGCCATGCCATGCCATGCAACAGCACGGCGTTCCCTCCCGTGCCTATCTTTTGCAACATCTCGTTTCTTAAGTCCGTCCTGTACCACCTCATGCCACCTCATGCCACCTCTCGCCGCGTCATGCCACGTCATGGCAGGTGGCGAAGGGGCGTGATGAGCTGGCGGCGTATAAGGTGCGGGCGGCAGCGATGCTGAAGAAGAAGCAGGAGGAGCTGGAGGCGGTGGGGAACGCGGATGCCATTGCGAGCAAGGAAGAGGAGATCAAGGTGAGTGTGGGAGTGAGTGTGGGAGTGAGTGTAGGAATGATTGCAGGAGTGGGTGTAGGAGTGAGTGTGGGATCGTGGGAGTGAGTGTGGTAGTGAGTGTGCCTCTCTCCCCACCTGCCTCCCTTCCTACCTCCTTCCCTATCTCCCTCTCCCCCTCCGCTCTCTTTCCCCCTCCGTGCCACAACAGGAGGCAAAAAGGGCAGAGGCAGCGGCAGTGGCAGGGAGGGACAGAGCGCTCAACTCGTGTTTCCTCCCTCCCCACCTCCCTTTCCCCCTCCCCCTCTCTCCTTCCCCACCCACCTCTCTCCCCGCACGACAGGAAGCAAAAAGGGCAGAGGCAGCGGCAGTGGCGGAGAGGGACCGAGCGCTCAAGGCTTTGGAGGATGCTGCTGTGGACCATGAGACACAGATGTCAGCGCGGTGAGATGCGGTGGGGGGTGGGTTGGATGGGTGTGGTGCGGTGTGCATGTGTGTGCATGGTAGTGAGATGTGGAGGGACAGAGTGCTGGTCAAGGTGACAGAGGGTGTTGCTGTGGACGACGAGACGCAGATGGCAGGGCAGTGAGAAGGGGAGATAAGCTTTCAGTTGGCGTGATGGCGCAATAGACGGACAGAGCGCTGCTCCAGGCAAGTTGTCAGTTGGTATCAGTTGTCAGTTGGTGTGATAGCATTGTATCCACCGTGCCCTGACGCCCTTGCGACCCATGGGCGATCTTGTCACCCCCTGTTCTTCCCTGTGAACAGGAATGTTGCACTGATGGAGGCGGAATCGAAGATACGAGAGCTGACAGGCAGGCTGGAGGCGGTGAGGCAGCAGAGCCAGGCGGCCCAGGAGGAAATGCATGGGCGGATGATGGACCTGGAAGACGGATGGCGCGGTGAGTCAGTTGGTAGGAGGGGTTGAGTGTTGGGGTATGAATTGGACAGCTGGTTGAGAGCAGCGCAGGAGGAGATGCATGGGCGGATGATGGACCTGGAGGATGGGGGTGGCGCAAAAGGATATGCAGTGAGTTGGTAGGAGGATGGGGGTAAAAGGATCAACGTGTGTTGGGAAGGAGAAGTGAGATGTGTATGGTAGGGAAGTAGATATGTTTGAGCGTGCGTTTTTTGAGAATTCTCAAAAAACACGCGTGTTGGGAAGGAGAAGTGAGATGTGTATGGTAGGGAAGTTTCTCCGCATGTGTTGTGTAAACTCGCTCTCACCCCTCATTCATTCCCGTGCGTTCACCCAAGCAGAGAAGCTGCGGCAGCAGGAGGAGAAGCTGAAGGGGCAGACAGACAGCGAGACAGCGACCTTAGAGTCTGAACTCAGGAGGAGGGTGGAGGCGGGGGAGAGGGAGCATGCAGCATTCAGAGAAATGGCGGACAGAACCATAGAGGCCAAGGGCAAGGCGAAGGATGAGGCTTATGTTTCCTGATTTCCAACACCTTGGACTCTCAATTTCCCCTCTTTCCCCTCATTCCCGTGCATTCAAAACCCAAGCAGAGAAGCTGCGGCAGCAGGAGGAGAAGCTGAAGGGGCAGACAGACAGCCAGACGGCATCTCTAGAGACAGAGTTGAGGAGGAGGGTGGAGGCGGGGGAGAGGGAGCACGCTGCATACCGAGAGATGGCAGACAGAACCATAGAGGCCAAGGACAAGGCCATTGAGGGGAAGGATAAGGAGATCGCTCGGCTCTCTGCTGAAGCAGCACGTCTGCAGGAGGCTCTGATTGCTGCCCAGGCTGGTGCTGCTGCTGCTGGTGCTGGTGGTGGTGGTGGTGCTGGTGCTGGTGGTGGTGGTGGTGGTGGTGGTGAGGGTGTTGGTGCTGTCAATGCTGGTGGAGGGGAGGGTGATGGGTTGAAGATTGCAGGGCTGGGTGCTGCAGGGATGGATGGAGCGGCAAGTCCCAGGAAACCAGCACTCATCTCTGTGAGTCCACTGCACCGCACTGCACCGCACTGCACCGCACTGCACCGCACTCCAATGCTGTCAATGCTGGTGGTGGGGAGGGTGATGGGGTGAATATTGAAGGACTGGGTGCCTCTGGGATGGATGGAGCGGCCAGCCCCAGGAAACCAGCGCTCATCTCGGTGCGTCCACTGCACTGAACTGCACTGCTTTCCACTCCTCTCCACTCCTCTCAACTCCTCTCCGCTCCACTCCACTCCACTCCACTCCATTCCATTCTGCTCGACTCCACTTCACTGTTTTATCTTGGGTTTGAATTTTCAATCCTGCCCTGGCCCCCCTCCCTGCTCTCATTGCCCAGGCCCCAGTTTCCTGTCCCCAACCCCCTGTCCCCACCCCCCTGTCCCCAACCCCCTGTCCCCAATCCGCCACAGCTTAAGTCCCTTCCCCCCATGACCTCCTCCCCATCCCATCCCCCTCTGTCCCCTTCCCCAAATCTCCTCCCCTCTCTCCTCACCCCCCTCCTCCCCCAATCCCCTCCCGCATGCAGCCCGGTTCTCAAATGTCAAATCCAGGTTTCCGCAAATCAGCCCCATCACCTCTCCCTCCCCTCTCCCTCCCCTCTCCCTCTCCTCTCCCTCCCCGCTCCCTCCTCCCCCCTGCTTCCTCAATCCCCTCTTTCATGCAGCCCGGTTCTCGGATGTCAGATCCAGGTTTCGGCAGCAAATCAGCTGCATCTGGCCTGCCTCTCTCCCTTGGTGCGTTGCCTCTCTCCTTCCTGTTGTCCAATTCAGATTCCCTCTATTTGTCCCTTCTCATTTCCGTGTATGTGTCACCCCGTTTTACCTCTTCTATCCATCACCTGTGGTCACCTCCTTTTACTGTCACCTCTGTTTACCTCCTTAGTTCCGCGCCTGCCTTTTTTCATCGCTCTGAAGAGCAGGCAACCTCCACATTTGTGTGTCTGTTTCCATCTCTCAAATGTCTTTCCTATTTTTTCTACCATGTCATGCCCTCTGCTGCAATGCAATGCCATGCCATGCCATGTCCTTGTTCCGTTCACCAGAGGGGATGGGGCTGGCAGACAACCCAGCAGAGAAGGCTGCAATCGCAGAGCAACACATTCTGGTATGTTATGACCTTGCCAACCTGCTGCCCTTGCCTTTCTTGCCCCTCTTGTCTCTCCCGTCCCTCTTGTCTCTCCCGCCCCTCTTGTCTCTCCCGCCCCTCTTGTCTCTCCCGTCCCTCTTGTCTCTCCCGCCCCTCTTGTCTCTCCCGCCCCTCTTGTCTCTCCCGCCCCTCTTGTCTTGCCTCTCCGGCCCTTTTTGCTTGTGCTTCCTTCTATTGCCCTTTGCTGCCTCTGTGCTGTTATCATTTCCAAAACGGTATGCCTTCATAACAGCCTTTGAGCAGAAGGAAGAAGGGAATGTGTTGCTTGCACGGGGAGAAGGGAATGTGTTGCTTGCACGGGGAGAAGGGAATGTGTTGCTTGCACGGGGAGAAGGGAATGTGTTGCTTGCACGGGGAGAAGGGAATGTGTTGCTTGCACGGGGAGAAGGGAATGTCTCTCCTATTTCCTTTTGCCGGAGCTCTGATTGTAAGCATCTACTGCTTTGTCCTCCTTCCTTTTTCTCCAGTTCCTTGCACGTCAGCAAGCGCAAAGGGAGGAGGAGGTCGCACAGTGTAGGAGGCACATTCAGGCACTGCAGGTACGAACATTATACATTCTTGCATTATCGCATTCATACTTATAGAGGGTCATGCATATCACTTCATATGTTACACAGAAGTATGGCCTTATCTGCATGATACCTCCAATTCTTCTCCTTATGGTATTTATCAGTCTGTTTTACTGTTTTTTCTTCTGTGTTTCATGGAATGTAATCTCCTTGTGCGGCTGTCCCCACCATTGGCTCCTTTGCTCCCGCAACTTATTGATAGTCTCTATTCAATGCTTGTGTTTGCCACTGGAAACCACCAGGAGGAAATCACGGACCTGCAGAGGGAGAATCAATTGAGAGCCAAGCAGGTGGGTGCTCCATTGGGATGGTTGCAAGCACAGTTGGGATGGTTGCAAGCACAGTTGGGATGGTTGCAAGCACAGTTGGGATGATTGCAAGCACAGTTGGGATGATTGCAAGCACAGTTGGGATGGTTGCAAGCACAGCTTCTGGTCACCTCTTCTGCATCGTCCCCTCCTCTCCACCCACCCCATTACTTCCTTCCACCTTTTTCCACAGTTTCGTTCTTCCATAAGGCTTCTCAGTTATAAAAGGTCTCCCATCTCCCTTAACTTCACTGCGCGGGAGTTATCGCCCCCTCCCGTGTAGCCCTCTCTGTGCCAGTTGCCGGGTGTTTTTTAGAATCTTTCTAAAACTCTCCATCGGAGTGTTTTTTTTTTTTTTACCTAAAACAATGTTTCTATTGGAGTGTCTCCTGTTTCTTTCTCCCCCCTCCTTCCCCAGATATTCTTTTCTAGGAGCCTGTGTTGAGGGAGGAGCTAAGGAGGAACATGGAGAGAGGGCGCAGAAGAGAGGAGTGCATTTGACCACCCTTTTTCTGCCCTGGTTCCTCCCTTCTCTTCTCCTAAGCTTTTTTTTTCCCTTCCTCCTTTTTCGTTTCTTTCTTCCAGGAATCGGTGTTGGAGGAGCTAAGGAACATGGAGAGAGCGCAGGGAAGAGGGGGAGAGGGGGAGAGCAGGCGATAGCAGTTTCATCCTAATCCTCCCTATCCTCTTTTTTTTTTTCTTTTCTTTCTCTTCCAGGAATCTGTGTTGAAAGAGGAGCTGAGGAACATGGAGAGAGCGCAGAAGAGAGAGACGGTGGACATGACTTATCTTAAGAATGTCATTCTGCAGCTGCTTATCAGAACAGGTACCAGTGCTCGTTGATACAGGCACTAGTGCTTATCAAAACAGGTATTGTTTTGCATGTCTATTCTTCTTTCCAGGCCATCCCACCCAATCACACCTGATCCCAACCTATCCCACCCCATCCCTATTTGCTCTGTTTACTTGCTCGTTCAATTCACAAGGAACCATCTACTTCTCGTTCCACCTCACCAGCACTTTATTCTGCTCCCTGTCTCCTGCTCTGCCCCACCATCTATATTGGAGTGACTTTTGAGAATTCTCAAAAGTCACTTTATTCTGCTCCCTGTCTCCTGCTCTGCCCCACCATCTATATTGGAGTGACTTTTGAGAATTCTCAAAAGTCACTTTATTCTGCTCCCTGTCTCCTGCTCTGCCCCACCATCAGACCAGAGGGCGACCCTCATTCCTGTAATTGGCATGATACTGCAGTTCAGCCCAGAGGAGGTGAGCCTGGGATGGGCGCACTCGTTTTGAAGCCTTGTTCCCTCACTCTCCCACTCTCTCTGTTCTCCCTCTCAAAAAGCCATACTCATTCCTGTAATCGGTATGATACTGCAATTCAGCCCAGTGGAGGTGAGCCTAGGAGGGCAAGTTAGGCGGCAGGTTCTCTTTTGCCTTCATACGGATGCATTTCCCTTGCCTTGTGTTGTTTGTCACACCACATCAGCTCTCTTACTGTATGCTCGGCTTTTCTCACACAAAAGGTTGTCTGTCCTTCCTGCTCTTGAGCCTTACCTTGTGATTATGCCTCACGCTGTTGTGCTGCTGGCTACACCTCATATCCTGTGCAGTTGAAACAGTGTCGAGGATCATGAGTTCTGGTGATGCCATACACTGGCACAAGGCAATGGAATCTACACGGAAATCACTTTTGAGAATTCTCAAAAGGCACAAGGCAGTGGAATCTTGGTGTGACTCTTGGTGATGACCAGGTGCGACTCTCATTCAGCGATCGACAGTGTGCGGTATCAGGCATGGCAGGTGGCGTTATGATGCTGGGTATCAATTTTGTGACGTGGGATGGATCATTGGAGGTGACCCTCGAAATGAGGAGATAGTAACGAGGTTGGCCAGATTCGGCCCTCTCAGACCTGAGAGCCGTTCATGTGTTGCATGGCATTCCTGAAAGTGATGATATACGGTAGTGCCGTGTAGACATACGTGCTGGGATAAGATCAAACCTCACTAGGCGCAAACTGAGTATGCACCTACATGTTGGGCTCTCTACATTCTGCCTAGTACCAAAACTAAGTCTATGGCTTGTCGTTTTCACTGGGAGCTCTTGTTAAGTACTCTGTCTGTACCAGTAACAGATACAGAAACTTGTAACCATAACCAGCGAGTTACAAGCAACTCTGGTGAACACACATCGAGAAGCACGCAATGCAAGCTAGCACGATTCATGAAGTCAATATTATGTCTATTCGTCCTCAGTGCTGCGCAGGCGAGCATTGCCATTGATCACCTTCACATCCAGCTGCTGCGCCCGCTCCACAATGGCCTTGCGCTTGCGCGTTGACACGGCAGACGCAATCTGAGCCACGTACTTCCTGGAAGGTGTGGAGACAAGGCACAGGCGGAGGGAACGAGAGAAAAAATGGTTTGTGATTTTACATCAACCATAAGCACCTCTATCACATCCAGCTGCTGCGCCCTCTCCACAATGGCCTTGCGCCTGCGTGTCGACACGGCAGAGGCAATCTGAGCCACATACTTCCTGCAAGGGGTAAAGACAAGGGAGAGGGAAGGACAAAAGTTGTTACAATGATTAACCTAAACAGTGAGGCTGATATTACATCCAGCTGCTGCGCCCTCTCCACAATCGCCTTGCGCTTGCGCGCCGACACGGCAGAGGCGATATGAGCCACGTACTTCCCGCAATGGTCACAAAACAGGGAGCAGAGCAGGGAGAGAGGGACAGAAGGATGGACGGATGTGAAGGCATGTGAGGTGGACGGTGTTGTGAGTGCATAGACGGACAGAAGGTGCAGGGATGCAGCAGGGTATTGAAGGAATGGGGGCACACCCGAAACCCTAACCCTGAACACGCTGAGGCAATGAAGGAATGAGGCAACAGCTCTGCAGCGACTTTGCACTCGTGGACAGGCATATGGTGGCTCTGCAGCTTTTGAGGCGCCTCAAAAGTCAACAGCTATGCAGTGACTTCGCACTCGCGGACAGGCATACAGTGGCTCTGCAGCTAACCAGGACGTGATGTTGAGTCGCATTACCTTGGAAAACGGTGAGATGGGAAGCGGCGCACGGAAGGGAAAAAGGGGGAAGGACGAGGAAGGAGGCAGGAGGCAGAGGGGGGGTGAAGGGAGATGGGGGGGAGGTGGGGGGGGACGGAGGAAGGAGACAGGAGGCAGAGGCGGGGTGAAGGGAGGTGGGGGGGGACGGAGGAAGGAGACAGGAGGCAGAGGCGGGGTGAAGGGAGATGGGGGGGAGGTGGGGGGGGACGGAGGAAGGAGACAGGAGGCAGAGGCGGGGTGAAGGGAGGTGGGGGGGAGGTGGGGGGGGACGGAGGAAGGAGACAGGAGGCAGAGGCGGGGTGAAGGGAGGTGGGGGGGGACGGAGGAAGGAGACAGGAGGCAGAGGCGGGGTGAAGGGAGATGGGGGGGAGGTGGGGGGGGACGGAGGAAGGAGACAGGAGGCAGAGGCGGGGTGAAGGGAGATGGGGGGGGAGGTGGGGGGGGACGGAGGAAGGAGGGTGGCAGGGGAGAAGTGGATTTGGCAGGGGAAGGGGAGGGAGGGAGGCGGGAAATTGTATACGGCTCCTCTTGGTAACACCTTGAAGCAGCTGCGTGGCTCGTGTCGGGCGCACATATGCTACATGTATAGGGTACCCTAAAAGACATTATATAGGAGCATCTACAATGAAGTACTATACCTGCTACCCACGATCCCCGCAACGAGCACGTGGAACACCCGAAACAAAATGTGTTTTTGTCTTCTTGTTGCTAAATGTAACTCAAGCCCTGAATAAAGTATATGGTAAAATCTACTGTACATTACTGTACCTGTTGTGCATGAGCAGGAGCTCCACGTCCCTCTCGTTGTGCACGCGGAACACCTGGAATCCCCTGCGCAGCATGTGCCGGGTCTTCTTGTTGCTGCCTAAACTACACAAAATGTTGTATAAGTAACAATCTACAGTAAATTACTGTACCTGTTGTGCATGAGCAGAAGCTCCACGTCCCTCTCGTTGTGCACGCGGAACACCTGGAATCCGCTGCGCAGCATGTGCCGGGTCTTCTTGTTGCTGCCGTAACCGATGTTGGGCATCAGGGGCGTGCCCTTGAACTTGCGCCGAACGCGCGAGTCAATACCCTTAGGCCTCCGCCAGCTCTCCTGTTTTGGGGAAGGGGGGGGGGGGGGGGGGAGGGGGGAAGAGGAGGGCGAGAGGGGGAAGAAAGAGCGCCGGGGATCGGAAGGCGGTGATGAGCGGAAGGAAACTGGGAAGGCATCAGCGGCTTGCCCTTGAACTTGCGCCGAACGCGCGAGTTGGTACCCTTGGGCCTACTTGTGGCGGGGTCTGGGATAGGAGGGGAGAGCGCCGAGGGAGGATGGGAGGACGAGGCAAAAATGAAGGATATGCTGTGAAAGAGAGGGAGGAGAGGACGCCGGGGAGGAAAATGAGGAAAATAAGGGAGCGCTACGAAGCATAAGAGAGGAGAAAAGGGAAGCGGGGAGAATGCGAAAACGAGGGAGATTAGAAATCGAGGAGAATGAGCAAGGATAAGAAGAGGAACGGTGGAGGAGGAAACAAAGGAAAGGCGACCGGGCGAAAGAGTGGGATGCGGGGGGGAAAGAGGAAGGCGAATGGAGGAGAGAGAATAATGACGGGAGAAATGGTGTGGAACGATGACGAGGGGGGAAGCGGGAGCGAGGGGATCATGACGGCAGGGCACGCGGGAGGGCAGGGATGATGTGGGGAATGATAAAGGGTGATGAGAAGGGAATTAGGAACGAAATGGTGCGGAATGAAAAGGGAAGGGTACTAGACATTCCTAGAACACTGTCACGGCAGATATGGATGCTGACTGGATGCTGAGTCAGCAAAAGGCTCGCCGGAGCCGAGTAAACAGGCGTACTGGCACACGAGAAAAGTAATCCACGTAAGCTAACGATCAACGTAAACTGATTGGCGTTAAACGCGAATCTATCACAACATTGGCGACTCGCGTCTGTAGCGCCTGACTCGTCAATCTGATGGTCTAGCTCTAACGGCAACGTCTGAAATACACGCGCGACTCGGAGCGTCACATTGGAAATAGAACATCTGAAACCCGTGCATGCGCTGTTCGACATCCCAACGGCCCCTGCGGCAAACGGGGCGCGAGCGCAGATGCCCCCCGCATCGACTGCTTCGCTAGTAGGGGGCTACTATTACTACTTTGCAATTACTCCTAAGATACACCGCCGCCGCCTTCTTTCAGGCTTCGTATCCTGTCCCCAGGTAATGCAATCTCACTGCTTCTGACAATGCGTCCCTCCAACGGCAACATCCTAAACGTGCGGGATTATCTGGCTAATCTAGACGACGCTTGACACTTCAATAGTCTCGACGCAACAGCCTGAGCACGGCACCAATAACGGCATGTGTCGAAGCTGGCGATGCCACGAGAACGAAATAGACTGTCGCATCAGGTCGAGAATACGAGCAGATTGGATAGTCACGCGACAAAATCCTGGTCTAGAATACTCCGCTCGTCGCATTCAATCGGCTCGTCTAGCGATATAAACCTGCTGAAACAGCTTCAGGTACTAAATTTGGTGGCGCACTAAGGGAAACTCGAAGCGCAAGCACGGGGTGTCCGAATCGCCTTCCGATAAAAATGACTCACGGGCACGCATTTTTCCTGTCGGATTGGGGCCGCCAGAACTTGTTCGTCTTCTTCTTCACAATCTTCGGCTTCACAAGCGGCTGCACCATCTTGACGCGCTTCGGCCTTAATCGCCTCGCAGGCACTCGGTTCTGCTGCTGCTAAACTGCTGCTTCTTGGCAGCGGGAATTAGGAGGAGAGGAAGAGGAGGGGAAAAAGGAGGTATTGCAGCGGATTGGGGCGGACTAGAAAGACCTTGCGGTTGAGGGGATGAGGCGGAAAGCGAGGGGGGAGAGATGGTACGGGGGGGTACGGGGGGAGGGGAGTACATGGAGAGGATGGCGGGGAAGTGGTGGGTGTGGAAAACAACCAGGTGAAAGGAGGGGAGGGGGAAGCGGGACACTTGGTGATCCCTCCCCCCATCCCTCGGCGGATCCCCTGAGCTGCCGAACATCGCCTTGGAGTTGAGTGCGGGAGCCAGTGAGGCGACAAGGAATTGGCGAAACGAAGTGACAGATGGTGGTGAGCCTCCAATCTAGCAGCAATAATATATATAGATACATCCAGAGGAATTTTGAATCTTATCATCCACATTTTCACTAGCCCTATTTCATTGGATTAGCTTTATAGCACCCTCCACAGTATAAGGTTAATTCCTAAATGTTATATGTACTCAATGCATAATGTGTATGTACACCTCCTCAATCCTGTCTATTATACATTTATTGTATTGTCTGTCTGGTTCCATTTTCACTTCTTTACACCTGGTGTTGACTGCTGGTCCTAGTTATATTTATGGCTGGCAGCTGGTTATGTATCTGTATCTGCTAGGATCCTTCATCTTGCAACTGTAAAGAGGTATAGCAACAAGGAAGATATCCCACGGTTTGGCTCTTGAGGTTGTGTAACGGCGATTCACCTCTGATGTGGGCATTAAATATAATATATTCACGTGATTCTTTTCAGATACGGACACGAACACCGGCAAATCCCTGCCATTTGTTTCTCCAGGGGACAAGCGAGAACCAGTAGATGCTAGATTGTGTCCACTTCCTCCCATGGCGAACAACTCAGCCCATTCCAGCACAAGCATGCCATTGCAGCCCAACGAATCAGAGAGCTCCTTGGTCTGCGCTGTCATAAAAATCTGTTCTCCTACAGCACGTGAGCCACATCCTGCCGCAAGCCGATCCGGTTTTGTTCGAATTTTGGTAAGCGACAAAAGTTCACCTCCAATCTCCCCCATTCTTACGATCATGTCTAGATGCATCTGCTTCCAATCTCCTCCCCTACAATCTCGCCCTGCTGATGCGATTTGTCCGAGGGGTTTGATTGGGTTGAGTTGGGTACAGTAAGCAGCTCCTTACAGCATGCACTGTTGGGGGGTCGTCGAGTCAAATCACAGCCCGCAAATCTGCGCGAGAATTGCCTGGTGGCGGATCTCCTCCCCACCTGTATCTGCACCCTCAAACCCAATTTTGTGTCTCTCACCTTCACCGCGCCCCCTTCCCGCCCCCCGTCTTTCCTCCTGCAAGTGCCCCGCTCCTCCTGCAAGTGTCCCGCTCCTCCTGCAAGTCACTCCTACAAAAAGCATGCCGCAGCTCAAAACATTCACCCACGCAGAGGATTGATTCGTAAGTTCTCCAGCTCCAAGACCGCACAGCCCCTATTTTACGACGATGTCACAAACTTTTGCAAGCTTGCTTCCCGAACTTGTTGACTTCGAGCCGTGGTACGACAACTTCCGTTGGCAAACCGCGAGTAAAATTAGTCCCTCCGACGTTCTGGCGAAATCATCGAGTCGCAACGCGAATATGTCAGCGTCCACGGAGCTTTCCGTTGCAGCGAAGGCGATGTGCGACTCGAGGGAAGAGGAAAAAGCTACAGTTGGAAAGAAACGTTACATAGACGAAAGCGTCAGCCATAGCCACAAGAAGTCGAGAGGTTATGAATTAGACAATGCTGCGGTCATCCAGCATATGCTCAACGACGCGCTTATCGCCGTGAAAAATCCGGTTCCAGCAAGGCAAACTGTCCTGCCGTCGTGTGTCGCTCCAAACAGCATAAACACATTCCCGCGCTTCAAAATGGAAGTCACATCGCGGTGTAACGAAGTGGCTGCGCAGCGGACGGTTTTAGCGGATTGTTCCGACACAGCTGCTCCTATGCCGCCGCACTCGGATCAGCATGCTACGCCTTATCGTGGATCGCAAGGGAGTGGAAATAGTTCCGGAAATATTCAACCGAGGAGTATGCGCGAGAAGAATCGCCGCCACCGCATCTTGTAAGTCTGCGTTTTTTTCTCATGGTGTTTGATTCTTTCCGTTTGAATAAATCGCTCATCCTCTTTTTTCTTTGTTTTTCCTTTTTCCAGGGCTGGGTTCAGCAAGCTCGAAAACGTTATTCCTTCTACGTTTTGCCAGCAGAGACGGGCGTCGTTCACCAAAATGGACACGTGCACCTTAATTAGCATGGCTATTCAATACATCAAAAGCCTAGAACAGCGGAGGGAGAATCTGGCCAAGCTTTGTATGAGCAGCGCCATGCTTGACGTGCAGACACTTCCGTAGATTGTGGGAACTTTCTTGCCAAGCTAGTGCTGAAAGCCTCGGCGATCGTGTAAATGTTGTCAATATTGCTGATAATTTATTGATTCCGAGCACTCTCTAAGAGTGTAATGCTGTTCCGGAAAAACAATAACTTGTGCTGCGCAGTGTAGAATCTCCAGTCACTTATTTCTTTAACGAAGCCACTGCTGCGAGGTGTGGTCCCGCCACTGCCCACAAATCGTCTGGAACTCATCGTCCCCCACGTCACCTTGGGTTGGAGATGACATGAGTTGCCCTCAACACCCACCACTTGCCAACACACCACCCAAGACCCTCATGCGGCAGTATCAATGGAGAGGATGTGAATTTGCCTCTGAAACAGAGAGCATACAAGCGAGTACCACCGACACCGCTGTGCTGGGCCTAAGGCACTGCGCGCCGAGGGCAGTTCACCAACGACCGATTTGCGTTTCAGCGTGTCGCGATGGTTTCGGGTTAGAGGCGTGCGCGTCTACTTAGGCCCTATTTGTTAGGGTATTTTCCAGGATGTTGAGTGTCTGTTGCTCCCTGCCTCGTTTGACTGGAGCCCAGCACCGCATACTACCACTGCCTAGATTGACTGGAGCACAGCACCACTTTCTAAAATGCGGGGCAAAATCCGAATGCAGAGTGACAAGTGGTTGGTTAGGTTCTAAGGACTGGAAGCAGGTGAAAGCTCAAGGGCAAGAGACAGGAAGAATGGACGTTGTAGAAGAGGCCAGCTCGTCAAAAAGCTCTCGACTTTCGAAACAGTCGCCAAGCGAGGTGTCGAAACGCAGTGAGGAGGAGCCAGTTCATGCAGTAATTCTTGTTCACGGCATCGTGTCCACGTAGGTCTCGCAATTTATTGCCATTACTACCGCCATCTTTTATCCATCCGAGATCTGAATCCAGCTCGTACGGTCATTACGTGACATGAGCTTTCAGAGTACGTGATTGGGATTACCTTCGCGGGGAGCTGAAGAAAAGACTGGGCAAGCGATTTCTCATCTATGGTGTGTATAAGCCGTCATCTTAGTTGTTTGGAAGCAGCAGTGCGCAAAATTCCAACTAACTTGAAACCTATTTTCGCAATTTCTGTGAAATTCCAGCAAGCTCGTCTAACGAGTTTCTGCTCACCTTCCAAGGCGTCATTACGGCTGGGGAACGATTAGCCAATGAGGTGAGCAATGAACCTCGCTTTCGATGCCAGCGAGGCATGCTATGCAAGCTTGTTAACAACTTCCTGGGATGTATGGTCCACGAACAGGTCAGGACCCTCGTGAAAAAGAATCCCAGTCTACAGAGAATAACATTCGTGGCTCATTCACTAGGTGGCTTGTTTGTTCGGTACGCAATTGCTTTGCTGCACGAGCCGCAAAACAGGTCAGTGGTTTAGTTGTGTCCGTGACTCCCTTTATCGTGGACGCATTGTCGCATCTCTTTTGGATTCTCAAATTCTCATGTCCGTAACCTGTGCAGCGAGAGAGTTAGCGTTGGTGGCTCTGAACAGCGACCTGGGTCAATTGCTGATTTGGAGCCAGTCTGTTGTATCACATTGGCTACACCACACTTGGGAGTGTCGGGAAAGGGTCAGGTACGCTCCATATATGGTGTTCTTGTGACGCATGAAGGCTGAGTATTGTAAAAATCCAACCGTATTACCCTAATCCGCATTGCAGCTTCCGTTTCTTCTTGGCTTGAATGTTCTGGAGAAACTCGCTCCTTCTGTAGCTCCATTCATCACTGGAGAAACAGGACGCCAGCTTTTTCTTGCTGATGGTTCATTGAAAGAGAAGAAACTCCCTGTTCTTGTTGAAATGGCCGCTGATAGCCAAGGCAAACCATTCCTGTGAGTATATTTTAGTCGTGATTGTGCAAATGAGTCATTGAGCATGAAGGTGAAGTTTTTGAGTTGCACCCTGCATTCCCTCAGGTCAGCGCTTCGAGCATTTAGGTTGAGGCTGCTTTACGCAAACGCTGGCTACGACCGCATGGTTGGCTGGCAGACTTCTTCTATCCGCAGAGCAGCTGAGCTTCCCGTGGTATGTATGGTTTAACAGGACTGGTTCTTAGGAGTAATAGGGACAGTTTGGTGGCTGAGTCTCCTGACAAGCCTTTTTTCGTTGCAGATTCCGAAGACAGCAATCAGTCCGCTTTATCGCCACATTGTGCTCGTCCAAAATTCTCCTGCTGTTGAGGGCACTAACTTGCCTGATCCACATGCTTTCACCACTGACCCATCGAATGAATTCGAGCTTTATCACGGTAATTTCTTGCTTGAGGGGCGTGCTGGCTGTATTTCATGTGCCAACAGCTCATGCCAACAAAACGCGAATCTGTCCAAATACAGAGTATATGATTGCCGGATTGCAACAAGTGTCATGGAGGAAGGTGGATGTGAACTTCGAGGAGGCGTTCTGGCCATTCTTCGCCCACAACTACATTCATGTAACTTACTGACAAGTCTCATTTCTTCCTATCCCTCTCTCTGCTGATGGACATAGTCCTAACCTGCTTCTCTTTGTTCAATTTCAGGTGAAAATGGAGTGGTTGCACTTTGAAGGTGCTGGGGTTATTAGACATGTAGCCGACACGATTTTAGAGCAGCATTCTGATGCCTTTCTTAGCAAACTGTAAGGATTTCTGACGCCTTTCTGTATTGTTCTTAGATGCTTCTTTTACCTGCAAACTTTGATGATGGTTTGTTCCTTGACTGTAATTTCTGGAATTTCTTCTGCCGATCCCTGTACAAAATTCTTTCCTCACTCATCGTGGCTACTCTGCACGCTGGTTTGAGGTCCAGGGAAGGGAAGCATGCTGGGGAGACATCTTACTCTGCCATTCATTACTCCATCAGCAAAACTGCTCAAATTATGTACACAAATGCTGAAAGCACAACCCCCACACCCATCCGGCATTCTCCTAGTCTCACTGCACGACACAACTCTTGGGTGAGTAATTCCAGATTGCTTCCTGCAAGAACCTCACGCCATTCAACCCTGCGGTGTTGAACAGATAGCTATTTTTCGTATTCTTGTTAGCCACCCACACGTTGGCACCCAGATCAGCTGAGCACTTGTCTCCAACCTCCATTCCTGTCTTGTCATGCCAACCTTTTTCCAAATCAGGCTCAGTGGCTGCTTCTGCCAGCTCGTGGCCAATTGTTGCAATCATGCTGTCCACACCCCAGTTCCCATTTGGTGTTTTGCTGGCAAACAAGAGTACAGGGGCAACAACTAATAGTAGCGGGTGAGATAAGAATTGAGAGAGGGACACACAACACATGCAGTGAAGGAGGACGGAGTGATATGGTACAGACGACGTGGACATGAGATTCGGTTAGTGGGACAACAGAGAAAGTCATCATACACTTACTAGTAGTACTCGCTCTGTCCAAGAACGCAGGAAGAGTCTTTACACTGGCGGATAGGGTTACCAACGTGAATGTACTGATACAGCTTGCTGACTCCGTTCTTTATCCCAGTAAACGCTGAACGGAGTCCACAGTACTTCTGACAAAAGCCATCCCCGCCAATGGTGACTGTAACATCGGCACTCGTGAGCACCATGTAGATCCCATTAGGGTCCAAGGGAAATCGCTTGGTGGTCATTATCTGCCTCTCAATAGCTGCAAATGGCAACCAGCAGGGCGTGCACACCAAGGGGACCAACCATACATTAGAAAACAGTAAGGCAAAAAATGGGTCATTACCGGGTATATGAACATTCAGTGTGACTATGATGGTAGTCACATGACAGTGCTGTCGCAGAATTCAATGGAGAATGCTATTACCTCCAATGATGCTCGAGCTGGCGTACTTATCGTAGGCTGTGCCGGCCAAATTGACCTGCATGGATTAAAAGCAGCACAGAGCATCGCGGAGGGACTCAGAGGGATGCAGAGCGATGAAATTGAAATGCAGAGCAGTGGCAGTGGAATTGGTGCCAGGGAGGGAAGCAGGTAGCTATAAGGAGTGAAGCAGAGACTAAGGTCCACAGAACTTAACTGCTACTTCTCCTTACCGTACTGACCTGACCAGACCACACAGGGCCAAACGACCTCACTTTCACAGAAACCACAAAATCAGGAAATCAGTACCTTGGGAGTGATGTAGTAGTATCGGCCGTTGGATATCTGGTAGTAGCGCGATGCGATCATCTTCCACCATCCACGGACCGTGGCATAACTCTGGGTTGAGACACGGTGGGGGGAAGGGGGCCACATCACAGGAACGAAGAGGGACAAAAAGGGGGGAGCGGAAGGAGGGAAGGTGAAGCCGGAAACACAGGGGGGGACAGGGTAGAGGGAGCTGGGACGAAATTTGACACGTGGCGTTAAAGCAGCTATGTGGTAACCATGTGTAGCACGATGCGTCTTGTATCCGCAAGTACCAATGAGAAGGTCGACGACAAGGTTAATTGATTAACGACACGGCTCGACGCTACTGACTCCGTCAAACTTTCGACCGAACCCACGTGTCATAACAGAGTAAATGATATGAAGAGTGCCTACGCCATCCCTATCCGATCGGTTCAGCACCACGGGCGTTTCTTTGAAGCACGCTCACTCACCGATGTGTATGAGGTTGAAGAGATGGACTTGATAAAGGTCTCCACGATGTTAACTTCCGACTGATACCACGTGCCATAGTAGATTACGTAGAGATTAATCGGCTGTGTGAGCACGGCTCCGCCATAGTAGTATATCTGGTAGTTATTCTCCTTCATGGTTTCTGTGCGGTTCGAGAACCGATGGTACTCCTTTTCCGGGTCCGCGCCGAGAATGGACATGCGATGGAGGAATTTTCCGAAAGTGCGTTTCGCGCGCGCCTCGGCTTCGATGCGCTTCTTGGCATCCAATAGTGCCGCGTTGTCCGCTGGAAAAACTTCCCCCCCATTCACGGTGGTCAGATGGGATTCGGAGGCTGGTGTTTCCCCTTGGGATTCGAACGGGCTTAGCGGGAGCTTCGAGCGGCCGATCTTGAGGTCTCTGAAGCGCGCGTGCTGCTGGTGGGCCGGCGGAATGACGACACGGTGTCGATTGAAGAATCCGTGAGCGCACGGGGAGTAAAGGGCGGAAAGGATCATGGAAAGGAGCATAAACTGTAGGGGACGTATGAAGGCCATGACGCTAAGCTTGTCTGTCGTAAAAACTCTGGTATCACTCTAAAAGCTATTATTACTAGTTGTGATAAGATACCTAACCTCTTCCAGCGAAGCTGCTTGAAATTAAAATAGCTGGCCTAAACGAGATATCGCATCGGCGATTTGTGTCAGATTCAACAGCACACGCTGTGATGCTGTCTAGTGCTTTCTGACTCAAAAATATGCGTCTCTGGTTTATTTACACACATGCTCGAGTTGGCCGAGCAGGACGGGAGGGAGAGACGATTCTTGGTGCGGGTTGGCGTTGGTGAGATGGGGGGAAGAATCGCCCACTTCGGGAAATGGACAGTCGCACGGGCGACTAAGCTATCGGGCTGTCGTCGCTGAAGTTCGTAATCCACGCTGATTTGTCTCGGCGGGCGAAATGGATTGATTGCGACGCCAGCAAGGCACCTCTGTTGTTCTGTTACAGCGCAGCAAGGAACGTTTCGCCAGAATCACACGAGTCGGATGTGTCAACGGGGTGGTGGCTGCCGCGAAGGAATCCAACGAAGAAACTGACCTGCTGTCCACCCAGAGAATGCTCGCGAACAGGGCTGGTGGTTATGCAACCTGACGATGTATCACTCGGCTGGACCCTGCCGAAGGTTGACGAGGATGGTCATCAAAATCCTCGTCGCATCGCGTCTGCAGCAGCCACGTGGAGTCGGTCGGAAAAGGCTCGAGCGATCCCCGACTTCCGTTGAACCATTGCGACCATAAGTGCAACGAGCACATATTTTGCTGTTACTAAGAGAGCTATGCTATAATTTCACCAGCTCCTTATCAATAAGATTTCCCCTGCAACCTGAACAGTTTTCCTGATACGTATGGAGAAAGCCCAACTATAACAATTGGCATATGTATCCCTAATTTCTTGTGGCAGCACCATCTTCATTGGGCCCAACATGGCAGATTCTTTCTCAATACCTTGTGACTCACCTTATCTCTCCCATGCACTGTCCACTTGACAACGGTACCATATACAAAAAGTGTTGGTTTCACACAGCAGCAAGTACAGGACATTACCAGGCCCAAAGTACCTCTGGCGGAACAACTCCCCCCCCACCCCCAACCTTCACACTCTCCCTCTCTCTCTTCCCACGACCGCGAACTGCTAACTCCAGCGAATTCTGTCACATTCACCCCTCGCTGTCTGGTTTGTCCCTGCCAATGTTCTCGCTAGCCGTTGCTAACCCCATCATGCCCAGCATCGCACGCTCCTTTCCAAACCTATCCAACACTGTCCCTCTCCCACTGCCAACATCATCCGATCTCCCACTCCCCACTCCAGCCCCTGATGATCCAACGGCTCCTATCCCCCCATCACCGGCAGAAATCCTGTCAGAAAGTGAAGCACTGATAACAGCCCAACACTCCACGGCATCTACCGTGAAATTTGGTGATGAAGAGAGTGAAGGGGAGTTGAATGTGGTGCTGGGGCGAGAGTGACCCGAGTCGAAATCAGACGAGAGGAAAAGGCCGAAATGACCCGGTTGGCCGCCCAGGCCTATGCCATTGGGAATGGATTCAGATGCAAACCCTGATGCGCACTGCAATGAAAAGGAAGGTGGATTGAAAAGCAGAGGCCAAATCCTAAGAGGGGAGCAACAGTAAGTGGAGGAGAAATGACAGTAACCCTCCAAAGAGGTGCTACTGCCACCTACTCGCCAGATTTACGTAGCGACGCAGTTTATCAACCTACCCACTGCATGTTGGTGTCAGTGCCGGCTGCTATAAAAATAGCAGCAGCACAAAGGAAGGGAAAAAACGAAGAAACTGTCACTGCAGAAAGCGGGCTGAATTTTGAATTATCGAGTTCAACCTGCGGAAAGCGCTGCTTAGGTTTCCCACATGAAAGGCAAGACCTCCATATGAACAATCACCTTCCACAAACTCAACCTACCCACTGGATGTTGGTGCTGGTTCCGGCTGCTTTGAAAACAGCAGCAGTGGGGAGGAAGGAGAAGAGGAAGGATCGCATGTCACCAAAGAAAGCGCTGCCTCGCTCCCATGGCTTGGAAGCAAAGGCTCCAAAGACAGCACCCGCAGAGTCACGGACCACGAGAACGGTTGGATGCGGTACTGATGACACCTGGGAAGGAGAGAAAAGGACAAGAAGACAACGCAAGAAGGACTTTTAGGCCGTCTGAACCTTCAAGGTCGGATGCTGCTGATGCTGTACCACTATATGTGCTATATGAGACCAGCAGCAGCAACACCAGCAGTTGCTGATGCAACACCAGCAGTTGCTGCTGCACCAGCAGTTGCTGCTGTACCAATACTTGCTGCTGCCACCACCCCCTCCTCTCTGCTCCTGGCACAAGAATGGCAAATACGGCTATTATGATATAACCGTAGCCCATGCTGCTCCTCTCCTACCTTTCCCAGAAACGAGTTGAAACTCAGCCCATGCAGTTTACTGCTGTACAACAAACACCACTCGTGGCACTCTTTGTCCTGTAGTGCGCCTGCTATATGCCACTTCAGCTCCTTCTGCAGCAGCCACGTGTCCTCCCTACCCTCCTGCTGGTGCTCTCCTGCTTCTGTGCTTATGTGGCGGCCGCTGGCGGTGACCGGTGGCGCAATGAGGGTTGGTAGCGGGGGACCTGGAAAGGAAAAAGAGGGGAGAAGCAGTGAAGGAAGGAAAAAAAGTTGCACAAAGCACTTTCGAGAATTCCCAAAAGTGATTCCGGCCGCTGGTAGTGACTGGTGGGGCAATGAGGGTTGGTAGCAGGGACCTGGAAAGGACAAAGAGGACAGGGAAAGTGGAACATTTGCTGACTACAAATCGTTTGAAGTTTTTGCAGACAAACAATGGCAATCACTTAACTAAACATGGACCAATTAACTACAACGGATCATTTGGCGACATTTCAAGCTGCTGTCCAACGATTACGTCTCTGCATTCATTTTCTGAAAGGCCTCTACAATATACCTCCACGGCGCTGTCCTGCAGCGCTTTCCTTCTCTGCGTTTGAGTAAACTCGAGATTAACACAAAAACAGTGACCCACGGAGATAAACGAACGGCGAACCACACCCAGAGACTCACGGAGATCCGGCGGGGTGAGGAGGCTTCGGAGAAACTTCTTGACAGCAGGGACCTCTGTCCACCATCGAACAGCATCTTGGCAGGACAGCTCCCTTCCATCATCAGCAGCAACACTGGCACCATCATCATCAGGTCTGTGATCAGCAGCAGAGACACTGGCACCAGCACTACCATCCCTACCTACGCCCTCCTCTCCTTGTTCTGGCCTCCCTGCTTCTTTCCTCTCTGGCTGCTCCTGTCCTCCTCCTGCTCCATCTAGTGGTGCTGCAGAAGGTGCAGAAGCAGCAAGAGGCGCAGCAGCAGTGGAAGATTGACCCCAAGATGGGTGGAGAGCGGAGGAAGCGAGTGCGGAGGAGCCAAGGGAGGAGTGATTGAGAGGATCCCGGGTACTAGAGGCAGGACTAGATGGAAAGGCAGAGGAGACGAAAGCTTGGATGATGACAGGTGTGAGGTAGTGCTGGGGACCGAAGACAGTGGCGAGAGCACTGCGGATCACCTCCTCTACCTCCCGCCTGCGATGGATGGGAGTGCAGCACAGTTAGGGGAATGAGAGGAAGATGCAAAGAGTTGAGCCGAAGGGTTGAAGCACAAGCAGGCGAGGGGTAGTGCTGGGGACCGAAGACAGTGGCGAGAGCACTGCGGATCACCTCCTCTACCTCTCGTGTGCAGTGAGAATGGGAAAGGGAACAAACGGACACATAAACCAAATGCAAATGTTAAGCATTATGACACTTTACCTGTCAGTTCAACGATATTTTAGCAGAACACAACTAGACTAAAAAACCCGAAACCCTAAACCAGAATCAAATGGTTACCTGTCGACCTTTCCTGACTTGAGAACGTCCATGAGTTGAAAGCACATGTGGTCGATGTCATCTGGTGAACCCTTGTCAAACACAGTCTGATGAAGGGAAACAATCAACGGGAATTGGAGGGACGGCAGTGAACATCAATGTCATCTGGTGAACCCTCGTCGAACACAGCCTGATGGAAAGGGGACAAGATTGGAATAGGGAGTGGAAGGAAGGTATAGATGGCAATACATGTCAATGCCATCTGGTGAACCCTCGTCGAACACAGCCTGATGGAAAGGGGACAAGATTGGAATAGGGAGTGGAAGGAAGGTATAGATGGCAATACATGTCAATGCCATCTGGTGAACCTTGTCGAACACGGATTAATGGCAGGGAAAAACATTACGGGAATCGAAGGGTACAGGTGGCAGTAAAAGTCGATTTCATCTTGTGAGCCCTTTCCAAGCACAGCTTGATGAGTTGTAAGTACAGAGAATCGAACAGGAATTGTAAGAACAGACGAATCGAACAGGAGTTATAAGTAAAGACGGCGATAAATGTCAATGTCATCTGATTTGGGACAAAAGAAGCAGCAGCAGCAACAGAAGCAGTGGCAAAAGCAGCAGCAACAGCAACAGCAGCAGCAGCACAACCAGCAGCACTGGAGGGAGAGGAAGAGGTAGTGGAAGTAGAGAGATGAATAGGGGAGAGGGAGGGGCAAGAGGAGGGTGAGGAGGAGGTAACGGAAGGAGGGAGAGCGGGACAGACAAGGGAAGGGGAGCTGCAGGGGCAGTCAGCAGCAAGGAGAGGGGGGATTGTTCAAAAAGGGTATTTTGGAGTAAGAATTAGAAAAAACGGTGCAGTGGAGATAACATTGTATACGCCGAGGAGGCCGTGTCATGGGGGCTACTTTTGAACTCGAGAAATGGCGGGGTCCTGAGCAGTCCTAAAAAAAATTTTGAACACGGAGGAGCCCAAGGATAGTGTGGAGGTGCAGAAGCTGAAGAAAGATGTGTCCGTATCCCTCTTCTTAACAGGGGAAGAGGTCGACTTTGTACTGGGGAACAGGCACGTTTTGGTGGGCTGGTGGGACAATGTTAACAATAGACACCTTAGTTGCGGAAGACGCGTCTAGCGTCTTAGACGCTGGGTTAGACGCAAGCCCGGGCAGGCAAAAAAAAGTACGGACAGCCAAAAAAACCTTCTATGGGGCATGGGGAGGGGGGGGATATGGACGTAGCTAACATTTGAGGCAATTTCTTCTTAGGTCTTGATTTTTTCCCCCCAAATTTTTTCTTTCCGGCCTGCCCAAAAACGTTTCCCCCTTGCGTCTAGCGTCTACGGGTGCGTCCTGCGTCTAGCGTCTAGACGCTGCGTCTAGACGCTAGACGCAGGACGGTCCTGGCGTCTTTCGCAACTAAGATAGAGACCTAACAACGCGAGACGATCGAGACCTAACAACGCAAGACGCTTGCCGGAGAAGGTGAGGAAATTGACGGATTCTGGGCTTCTTATGAATATATAGTCCCCCCACCTTTCCCGGTCGTCTTGCGTTGTTAGGTCTCTAAAACTAACGTCCCACCTGTCCACCAAGACATGCATGTTCCCCAGTACAAAGTCGACCTCCTCCCCTGTTAAGGAGAGGGCTACGGACACATCTTCCTTCAGCTTCTGCACCTCCACACTGTCCTTGGGCTCCTCCGTGTTCAAAACTTTTTTGAGGACTGCCTAGGACCCCGCCACTTCTCGAGTCCAAAAATAGCCCCCATGGCACGACCTCCTCGGCGTATTCAATGTTATCTCCACTGACATAACACCATTTTTCCTGATTCTTACTCCAAAATATCCTTTTTGAGCAATCCCTTCTCTCCTTGCTGCTGACTGCCCTTGCAGCTCCCTTTCTTTTACCTGTCCCACTCTCACTCCTTCCGTTACCTCCTCCCCACCCTCCTCTTGCCCCTCCCTCTCCATTATACCTCTCCCTACTTCCACTACATCTTCCTCTCCCTCCAGTGCTGCTGGCTGTACTGCTGCTGCTACTTCTGCCACATCTTCTGTTGCTATTGCTGCTTCTGTTGTTGTTGCTGCTTCTGCTGTTGTTGTTCCCGTTGATTGTTTCCAGCCCTTGTCAATGCACAGCTTGATTTATCATTTAAATTTGAATGCCAATAGATCAATCCAAAGGGCATTGTTAGACTGGAGCCTTCACTTTTTGCAAAAAACTGTGGAACAAAACTTATGATGGGGTGTGGAGGCGGGCGGGAGCTAACCTTGATAGACGCAAATTCCTGGAAGCGCATCAACCCATCCTTGTTCCCCTGCGTGGCTATCTGAAAAAGGCGAGCTCCCAGACTGCCGTGAATGCCATAGTATGCCTGGCGGACAGATGGGATGGTGGGACACGGATGGGACAAAAGCGAAACGGGAGAGAGTGAGAGATCAATTACACACGAGTTGCGATCTCAAAGGGGCAGGCTCCCAAACTGCCGTGAATGTCATAGTATGGTTTTATGACAGATGGGATGGGGGGACACAGATGGGACACACATAGCACAGAATTGGACCCAGGTTGAAGATACTAAATTGTCAAACAGCCGAGCAGAGCTTAGCAGATAGGTGGGGTGGAGTGCGGTGCAGAGAAGTGCGACTAGGTACCCAAGACAGTACCTGGAACACACTCGCTATGACATGCTGCCCGTTGCTGCGTGACTGTGCTGCGAGTGACACAAACAGGCGCTGCAGCTCGCCCCACTCCCGAGGCGAGTAGAGCCTGCCTGGCAGGAGGGGTGCAGGCAGGAGGGACGAGCAAAAGATTCATGACAAATTCAATGAATGACTAAGGGATAACAGTTTCTGCAGCTCGTCCCACTCCCGAGGTGAGTACGGCCTGCTTGGCAGCCAGGGGTGCAGGCAGGAGGGACAAGAACACGGCAATCCTAATGAATAAGTCAGGGATGAAGTCATCTGCAGCTCGTCCCACTCCCGAGGTGAGTACAGCCTGCTTGGCAGCCGGGGGTGCAGCTAGGAGCAACAAGAACACGGCAATCCCAATACATTCGGTTATGAATGACCGAATAAGGTTGAAATAAAATCAATTCATGTAGGTATTTACTGCTGAAATCATCCCTGATGCTCTTGTTCATGGACCTGGCTAGAAGCAGAATATGGCTTCAGTTGAATATATCGTATTGCATCTGCAGCCGGGAATATCGCAAAATTGGAATATTCTTGCAGCCACGACGGACCTTGACGGACCTTTTTAGCTGGTCAGTCCCTTCCGTCGACTGCTCGGCTCCCATCCTGGCGTGAACGTTCTTCGGAAATTCACAAAAAAAAAAAAAAAAAAAATGGCCGTCTCACGTCGGTTGCGGAATAGGTCTAAGAGTGCGATCACGAAGAACGAAAAAGGTGATGCAACCGTGGGGACACTACAGTAGACACTGCTGCCTGTCGGATTCAAATTCCTAGTACTACGCTGAGGTCGGTGTCTGCTTGCTGTCTGCTCATGCGGTTCAATTGGGTTCTCGACGATTCAACACGATTTTCAAACTTCGCCTCTATGAACCGCAACAAACCGAGCATATCTATATGGTTCATAGAAGGATGCTGGGAGAGGGAAAGGCACTTCGCATTGCCTGCCTGCCTCATCATGCAGCCAAGAAGAAAAATAAGCTCGCTAGAGAGTCCTTCGTGACAAGCTGTGACGAGTTACATTCACTCAAACCACAACTCACAAGGAAACCAGCACCAGTGTGAGACCATCTCACTCAAAAGGCAGCACGAAGCAGGGCTCTGCACATGTATCTAGCACGAGGGTACACACGCAGACACTGGCTTCATGCCTTTCTAATAATATATTCACGGCCGCTATCTAGTGCTTTTCTTGGGCCTGGAGTCCCCAAGCTCTGTGCGTCCAACATCGATGAGAGCGAGTCCGCAAAATGCCGTGCGGGTGGGTGAGCTGCGTCCGACGACCCGAAGGAGGGAAACGACGATACTCCGGAGTGGGAGTTGAAAAGAGACCCCGTTGGTGCCGACATGGCATGGGATGGCATCACGCTAAGGCTATGGTGGATACTGGCAAACTTGGCTTGAAGTGCGTGCACCTGACAAAAAGGGCAGTAAAGGGAAACGAGGAGACGAAGGGAACCGAGAGATTGAGTCTAGAAACAGAAACACAAATACTGTATGACGAACACGTGACATCAATAGTCCCCTTCATCCACACACCCAAAGTTTGGGTCCCAAACCCCACATGTCTCAGTTTCTCAATTCTCATCTGTTCATACTTTTGAGACGTCTCAAAGGTCCCATGAGGAAGAAGCAGTTGAACCAGAAAGCCCGCCCCCTCCTGACCCATTGAAACACCCACCCTCCACCATCCCATGCCCCCACCAACCAACCCTGCCTACCCGCCCTTCCCCCCTCTCTCACTCACCCGCCGCAACTCTTCATCGAGCTCCCCCCGGCTCCTCTCCAGCTGCCCGCGCACCCTCGAGATATCAAACACCGCATCCAGCCCACCCCCCGCCACCGCCTTCTGATCCCCCCTCAGCCCTCCCAACCACCAACCCACCCTCCCACCGATGAACTTGTTGTACTTGGCAACTCTCCTTACCCACTTCCAAACCTCCTCAACCCCTCTAACCTCCCGTCCCCCATGCCCCACCTCCCCTACTCACCCGCCTGAGCTCTTCATCCAGCTCCCCCCGGCTCCTCTCCAGCTGCCCACGCACCCTCGAGATATCAAACACTGCGTCCAGCCCACCCCCCGCCACCGCCTCCAGGTCCTCCCTCAACCTCGCAGGAAACCGGTCCATCAGCGGCATCAGAAAGAAGCAGTTGAATTTCAACTCTGCAGACATCACAAAGTGGTCCCGAATGCCCTCGAAAATCTGCATCACCAGCGCGTTCACTATGTCTTCAGAGGAGGGAGCGAGGCGGCGCGTCCAGAGGGTGGATTCGAGGAGATCGGCTAGCCTCCCTCCTGTGCCACTGCCACCTGCTGCAGCACCAGCAGCACCAGAAGCACCGCCAGCAGCAGAACCAGCACCAGTAGCAGCTGCAACACCAGCACTGCCACTAGCAGTACCACCAGCAGTAGCACCAGTGCCACTGGATCTGTTGGTCCCCCCCACTGCCCCTCTGTCGCCCCTGCCATCATCGCTTGGGCTAGACTGGTAGTCGGTCGGGCCGAAGGGCGGCGAGTTTTGTCTGCTTGTGGCGGCCGGGACCGGCATTGGAGTGGATGCTTCGAAGGCGCCGACAGCAGCGAGAAGGGAGGAATCGTGGTTGGGCATGGCTGAATCGAAGAAGGAACGCAGGGCAGAGCGGGACTGTCAGGGAGGGAGGGGGATGGAAGAAGGGAACAAGTGAAGGAAGTATGAGTAAGAGGTGGTTTTTGAGAATTCTCAAAAACCACGTTGAAGTATGAGCAAGGAGCCAAGCCCTAGGAGGGAACAGCAAGTAGTGAGGAGACACGGATGAGCATGGCTGAGTCGAAAAAGGAACGCAGGGCAGAGCGAGAGTGAGGGAGCGGGGGGAGATGGAAGAAGGGAACATGTGCAGGATGAGCAAGGAGAAAGGAGGGAGCCGCGAGGAGGGAAGAGTGATGGCTGGGCAGGGAAGGGTGCAGGGCATTGCGGATCCGGAAGGGTGCAGGGCAGAGCGGATCCGGAAGGGTGCAGGGCAGAGCGGATCCGGAAGGGTGGGGAGAAGAGGGAGGGGGAGCAACGAGGAGCGAGGAGTCAAAGTAGGGACGAAGGCAGAGCGGGGCTGTAAAACGAGAGGAGGAGAGGGTTGGAAGAGGAGGGAAAAGCGGTAGACTGCCTACCCTGTTGTGCAGAGACCATGTGACGAAACGGGTGGTGCTGGTGAGATCCTCCATGCACCTGAGGCAAGGCAGCAGAGGGCGGGTGGAGAGACAGAGGGCAGAAAAGACACGTGTGTTAAACAAGGGTGTTGTGGAGTGGCCACGTGTTCAAGCGAGTGGTGCTGGTGAGATCCTCCATGCACCTGAGGCAAGGCAGCAGATGGCAGAGAGCAGAACAACAAGGGGCGAAGCGCTGGATACAACGAATGCGACAAGGGTAACAAGGGGAAGAAATTCGGACAGCGGCATCTCTCCCCTTGTAAAGCAGAGAGCATCACAGCCCAGAGCATTGATGCGCTGACAGCCCAGAGCATCAAAGAGCACTCACTTGTCAATGCAGGAGGGTTCTGTGGCGTCCACGAACTTGTGATACGACTCCTGCACCCTCCAACACTGCTCACTGCCAGTCCCCCAACCCCTCTGACTCCAACCTCAACCGCACTCGACCCCCCCGAAGGCCCTAGGTCTCACTTTTCAATGCAGGAGCGCTCAGTGGCGTCTACAAACTTGTGGTACGACTCCTGCACTCGCTCTATGAACGTCTCGTGCACCAGCATGGGTTCGTTGTCCCTCTGGTGTGTGGGGGGAGCAGACAGACGGGAGGATGAGGTAGATTCAGCGTGGGGAAAGTCTCGTTGTGGCGTTAACTCTCCTGCACTCGCTCTATGAACGTCTCGTGCACCAGCATGGGCTCGTTGTCCCTCTGCGTGGAGGGGAATGGAGGGTTTGAGGGAAGGGAATGAGGAGCAGGTGATACGTGAGTGTGTGAGCCAAGATGTGGTACGACTCCTGCACTCGCTCTATGAACGTCTCGTGCACCAGCATGGGCTCGTTGTCCCTCTGCGGGGGGGAGCGAGAGGGAGGAGGGGAAGGAAGACCAGAGGAAGAGAACAACTTGAGTCTATCTGCACTCGCTCTATGAACGTCTCGTGCACCAGTATGGGTCGTCACCTGAGCACAAAAAGCACCAGGGCTCTTTTGAGACGTCTCAAAAGCACCAGGGCTCACCTTGAGTAGGAAGAGCACGATGGGCAGCAGTCGACCCACAATGTGCGATAGACGGAACCCAAGCTGAGAGAGGACGAAGGGGGGGAGGAAAGGGGGTAGGGAAAAGGAGGGACAGGAAGTATGTTGGAGCAGACGAGAGAAAAGTGTGAAACCGAAGTTGCTATTAACGGAGAGAAAAAAAAGTGATATACGTAATTGTGCATGTAGTCTAACCCACATGACTATACATGCATCCCACGTAACAGATAAGTTCTGATACTGAACAGCAGGCTGTACTGACATATTCTGTCAAAAGAACAGCCATGCACCATCTTTGGGTCGCCTCACAAATCATACCTGTCGAAGGAACGGCTCGAATACGTCCCAGGCCTTGGCAACAGCGATCACGCACGCTGTCCTGCAGAGCACGAGAAGGGAGAGAGGAGAGAGAAACAGCAGCAAGGAAGGAGTAGGCAGACGGCACCTCAATTATCATTGAGGCACCTGGGATGTGTCACAAGGCAGAAAGGAGTGTTTTGAGACGTCTCAAAACACTCCTTTTTTCACGTGTCTAGAAACAGCAGCAAGGAAGGAGTAGGCAAACGGCACCTCAATTATCATTGAGGCACCTGGGATGTGTCACAAGGCAGTCACAGCGGATGCAGTTGTAAGGCTGGTAACCACGGCAGTCCCAAGAGACACACACACCAATTGAAGCGCACAGTTTTTCTAACACTCCACTTGCACTCCACTTGCAAGTGGAGTGAACAAACCTGAAGTAATTTGTGCCATCGTGCACGTCCTCCACACCGCACGCATTCACTATCTCCTCCCTCGATATTGCAGGGCACCGCACTGCACCCACCACAAACCGGAACTCCGCCATCGCCCGGTGGTACTGCGCCCCTCCAAAGAGACGCATGGTGGCGTTCTGGTGTAGAGGGGAAGGCGGGGAGAATATAGGTGGTGGTACTGAGGTGACAAGGGGATAGACAAGGGCCACCTGGGAGGGATTCAAACTCAGCCATTGCCCAGAGGTACTGCGCCCCTCCAAAGAGACGCATGGTGGCGTTCTGGTGTAGAGGGGAAGGCGGGGAGAATATAGGTGGTGGTACTGAGGCGGCAAGGGATAGACAAGGGCCACTTGGGAGAGATCCAAACTCAGCCATTGCCCAGAGGTACTGCGCCCCTCCAAAGAGACGCATGGTGGCGTTCTGGTGAAGAAAGGAGGACGAGGAAGGCCACGTGTAGAAAGTGGTAATTTCACGTGTTGCAGACGCCTCAAAAATTCACTCTCTACACAAGGAAACAGGTGGTACTTCGCCTCTGCAGGGCAACGCATACTGGCATGGCATATGCCTCTGGCCCAAATGTTTGGTCATAAGAACGAGGGGAAGGCCGCATGACAGTAACCAAGACTCACCGGCATGTGCCTCTGGGGGAACTGCTGCCCGTCCGACCGCACAAAGATCCCGCCACAGGTCGAGTCCATTAGGGAGGCAATCTTTTAAGGCGATTGTTTAGGAGCCACACACAAGCCAAGAGGCTCACCGGCATGTGCCTCTGGGGGAACTGTTGCCCGTCCGACCCAACAAAGATCCCCCCGCGTGCCCTCTCCTCCTGCAGTGTCTCGCCTGGCGGGCAGGAGCGGCAGGGAAGGAAGGGGTGTACAAGACAGGGAATGAGCAACAGCATTCCACTGTCATTCCAAGCCGCAATAATCTAGACAAGATGAACAGTTGAGAACATGCAGAATGGCGTTTCAACTCACCGAATTTGTCGGGTGGAGCAGCAATGGAGCCTCGGAGCAGAACTGTGAGCTGAAGGGGGGGAGAGGTAAAGGAGGGTGGAGTGGGGTTCACAGGTGTTACAGGGGTTACAAGTGTTTTAGAGGTGTTACAGCGGTACGGAATGTTGTAACAAATGATGTGCAACGAATGTTGCACCAATGACCACTCACGACTCACCATGCACGCACCCCTCTGACAGACCTGTGAGGCCTCATACCCCCACACGTACCTTCCGGACGAAGTTGTCGCGGAAGTTTCGGCTCTTTTCTCGCAACTCGCCATCGCTAAGGTTCCTGAGGAAGGCCACAGGGTGAGAGGAGGGATGCTTGGGGTTTTGTAGGCGCCTATGTTTGAGGCGCCTCAGCGGTCAACTCGTCATCATTTAGGTTCCTGAGGAAGGCCAACGGAGAGAGGAGGGAGAGACAAGGGATGCTTGGGGTTTGGTAGGTGCTTAGGAAATCGGAACAACATGCAGACTGGGGATTGAACGTAACGTTCAGGTATGGCCAGCAGATAAAAAAGAGTGGAGAGGCAAGAGGAGGAGAAGAAAAGGAGTAGGGGAGGAAGAAAGGAATGCTGGAGAGAGGAGACTTTTGAGTCGACTCAAAAGAAAAGGAGGAGGGGAGGAAGAAAGGAATGCTGGAGAGAGGAGGTGCTTACTGTAGCTCCGCAGAGGTGGCAGAGAGCTTGGTCGAAACTGACTTGTATTCTTTATCGAGCAGCGGCACTATATAGGGTACACTCTCGAGGTACCTGGATGGGGAGGTAGGGGCAAGGGCAGAAAGGAAAGGACTGACGTCAAATTTCATCCACAGGCTTAAATGCAGAGCAGAAGGTGAGCAGGGTGTTGAGGAGCAGGAGAGCGGAATAGGGAGAAAGGTGGAAAGAAGAGAGGGAGGGGGAAGCAAAAGAAGAGTGGGAGTGGGAGAATTGAGATAAGGTGGAAAGCCACAAGGAGAAACCAATTGCCTACCGTTGCTGCAGCATCTGCTCAAAGAAGGGAGACGGGAAGAGGAGGAAGTGATGAGAGGAGGGAAGGTGTGGAGAGAAGTGAATGGGGGAAGGAGGAACGGATCGCCTACTGTTGCTGCAGCATCTGCTCCAAGAACAGAGGGAGGGGGGAAGGGGGGGAGATATTGAAGTAAGGATAAGGAACGGATTGCTTACCGCTGCTGTAGCATCTGCTCCAAGAAAAGTCGGAGCCGGCTGACCCCCACCCTTGCTCGCTCGTCGTCAGAGAGCGGCCGGCCCATTTTGTCCTCTAGCGCTGCAATGTCGCTCATCTCTCTCCGAGCAACAGCCTGCAGGTCAATGCAAGTCAACCAAGACGGTTTCAAGTCAGCTTCAATCAGCCAGAGTCAACCCCCCCACCCCCTCCACTCCTACGCCCCACCACTCATCTACCCTGTCATCTACCCTCCACCCATTTACCCTCCACCCATCTACCCTCCACCCATCTACCCTGTCATCTGTCATGAAACCCGCGTCCGACCCCACTCGTTACCCTGCTCCCTCCTGCTCCCTCTCCCTTCTTCCCCTTCCCCTTACCCATCTACCCCCAGTCACATCTCCGAAATCTATCATCTGTCATGAAACCGCATCCAACCCGGACCCCACTCGCCCCCACTACCCCCATCTGCACCATAGCCTTTTCCCCTCCTCTTTCTCTCACGCCTTCCCCCCCACTCACGTCTCTGAAGTCATCATTTGTCAGACCCCACACCGCATCCGAACCAGACCCCACTCGCCTTCCCTGCTTCCTCTCCCCTCCTTCTCCACCTTCCCCCCCCCCGCCCCCTCACATCTCTGAAATCATCGTCTGTCATAAAAACCACATCCGTCCCGGACCCCACTCGCCCCCATTCTCTCCACACTCCCCATAACCTTTCCCCAATCCCCCCTTGCATTGAGACGCCCCCATTCTCTCTGAGGTCGTTTTTGAGGCGCCTCAAAAACCTCCACACTCCCCATAACATTTCCCCAAGCCCCCCTCCTCCTCCTCCTCTCACGCCGCGGACCCCACTCGCATTTCCCCATTCATTTACTCACATCTCTGAAGTCATCGTCTGTCATAAACATAAACACGGCATCCGCCCCAGACCCCACTCGCATACTGTTTTTTATTCGACTCAAAGGCCCATTCATTTACTTAGATCTTTGAAGTCATCATCCATCATAAAGACCGCATCCGATCCGGACCCCCTCGCCCCAACGGCACCGACGTGAAGAACGGCCGCGTGGCGATGCAGAGATATAGGGCAGCAGCGGCGCCAACAGTAAAAAAAACACCCCACCTGACCTGGCCCCCTCTAGTTTTCCGGTTTTCTCTCTTAATCCCTCTCCCTTCTTCCCCCTTCCTCTTACCCATCTACCCCCAAACCCACATCTCTGAAATCATCGTCTGTCATAAACACAGCATCCGACCCGGACCCCACTCGCCCCGACGGCACGGTGGCACCGACGTGAAAAACACATTCGACCCGCACCCCACTCGCATACCCCCATTCATTTACTCACATCTCTGAAATCATCATCCGTCATGAACACAGCATCCGACCCGGACCCCACTCGCCCCGACGGCACCGACGTGAAGAACGGCCGCGTGGCGAGCCGGGACGCAGAAATGTCGGGCAGCGGCGGGTTGAGGAACATTTCCACGTCAGCTGCCCGGGAGAACTGCGGGATGCGCGTGTCGAGCTTGGTGGACACGAGGATGGTTCGGGAGAGGTCCGGGTCGACCTTCATGACGATCCTACGGGTAGTGGCGTTGCTCCAGTCGCTGCTGTCCTCGAGACAAAGTATCACAAACTCCTGCTGCTTCATCTTTGCTAAGACCAACGCCTCGACAATACGGGCTTGTTCCTGGGGAGGAGGGGGTGGATGAAAAACAGAGGGAAAACAGATAGTCGCTGCTGTCCTCGAGGCACAGAATTACAAACGCCTGCTGCTTCATCTTCGCTAAGACCAACGGCTCAACGACCCGCGCTTGCTCCTGAGAAGGGGGAAGGAGGGAGGTTTGGAGAGGGAAAACAGATGGTCGCTGCCATGCTCCAGGCACTGACATGCTCCAGGCCCAGGATCACAAACTGCTGCTGATGAGCCCAAAAGCGATGACGATGGTGAGGTTTCGAGGGGCAGTACTTGTGCTCCACGCGCACCACCACCACCACCTCCTCCCTCTCCCCCAGCCCACAGACTCACATTCGCATTTTTTACTATCATGCACATTTTGAGCACCTGTAAGGCCGTATGTGTGACAGACAGAGCGGCGGAGATGAGTCCAGGAATGTCAATGATGGTGAGGTTGGGGCAGTACTTGTACTCCACGCGAATTACCACCTCTTTACCCTCCTCCTCAGTAGCCCATGCCAGCCCGCCATCGCACCCACCTGTAAGGCTGTGTGCGTAACCGAGGGAGCGGCGGAGATGAGTCCAGGGGTGTCGATGATGGTGAGGTTGGGGCAGTACTTCAACTCCACGCGCACCACCACCACCGTACCTCCCTAACGGCGCGCCAACTGGCGTTCGTATTGGCGCACCTGTAAGGCCGTGTGTGCGACCGAGGGAGCTGCGGAGATGAGTCCAGGGGTATCAATGATGGTGAGGTTGGGGCAGTACTTGTACTCCACGCGCACCACCACCTCTCGGTCCGAGAACCGCCCCATGTCTTTCTCCAGCCGTTGGTTCTCGGACTCGATATAAGCCTGCACCGTTACAATCATAGCAGCACATCAAACACGTTCCATTCATCAATGCCTTGACTCAACGTCTCTTGCTATTAGGATATTAGTCGAGTGCGGAAAATCCCATCCGAACTAATCACTGGCTCGAAAGAAATATAAAACGAATCAAAATATAATAAACCGTAGAAGTACCTGTAGTTGCTGCAAAGTCTTCTCCTGTTCGCTCGTATGATCCTTATCCAGCACTAAGTAGCACCGCGGCTCCACGCACTCCGGATTATACTTCATCTGAAGCGTGATCGGACGGCGCGTCTTCGTCCCCCCACCCACGTGGTTAAACTGGAATCCCATCAGTGCTTCGACCAGCGCGCTCTTACCGTCCGTCTGATGCCCCACGATCAGCACAGCTGGCGCATCGAACGGCTTCTGGAAGTGCTGCGCTAAGCGGTGCAACTCGTTATAAGCCTCGTACAGCTTCTCGTTCTCGCTAGAGTTGCGAGGGCTGCCGTTGCCCTGAGAGCGGTTCGAGAGAGCAGTAGTGGAGAAATAAGTACCGGACGGACTTCTGCCAATCCCATTACCACCACCGCCGCCGCCGCCGCCGCCGCCGCCTCCTAAACCGACGCCGCTGTTGGATATTGATTGATTGGCTTTTCCGCCAGGAGCCACGCCGCCATTGCCGTACCCTTGGTTGCCGGATGCCATGTATGATCCACCCGTGCTGGACGGAGGTGCCACGTCTGCACGGGTTGGCTGAGTGAAGCGCTCTGCAGGCGCCACGTCACCGCGAACAGAGTCTGTCCCTCTAGCGAAGGTGATATTTTCCCTGATGCTCGCACTGAAGGAGTTGTCCGCGGGCGAATAGTCCCCCCCAAGCCTGCTGCCGTAGGTTCGGGTTCTTGGTTCGGAAGAAGGAGCGGGTGGCAATACCGAACGTGATTCCAGCTGCTGGGTCAATGAGCTTGTGCTTTTCAAATCCTTCCCGGAGTTTGCTCCGCCAGCGGATGCAGGTTCAGGATTGGACGAGGTTCGGGTGAAAGTGGACGAAAAGCTACGTAGCGAGCTTGCCGCGGCTGCCGTTGGCCGCTCTGTTGGCCCATTCTGACTGGGAGACTGCTTTTCTTGCGCGGCTGCTAGCCATTTCTCTATGCTATCTCCGGGACGCGCCATTTTGAAAGCTTGCGAAACTGGGAGAAGGCAGGAATGAAACTGCGGAATGAAGACAGCAAAGTGTAACTGCTGACGAGAAAGAAATAATAATTGGGAGGTTATTTTCTAAGGTCGTTAGCGGCAGGCATTACCGAGATTTCGCATTGTTGATCCCTTGAACTGAAGCTGAAGCTAGAGCAGGAGGCCAAGCCTGATTACACCAAGGAACTCGACTCGACGTCCCTGAAGAAATGGAAAACCGTCAGATATGCTGGGAATCTCGAAATTCTTTCTGGAGGTTTGTATCTGGAATCGAAAATGGGTCGCGGCGAAACAATACCGAGCCAGCTTACCTGACCTGAAACCTGTTCTGCCATTGCCAGTAGGGGTTTGGAGCTTTGGTCTGGTACGAAGCGAGCTTCGGTTCACCCGTGTGGGATGCAGGCTGCAGACCCTGGCAGGTCTTGAAGCTCGGCGATTTGGCGGGCTTGTCTGGCGAATTCAAATCAAGCGTCGTCAGCAGGCATGGCGAGATGGCAAGCAGGGCGGGAAAACGTATGCAATATATTTCACTTTCGAGAGCCGGTAGCGGTCGGTAGCGCCCGGTAGCGCTACCGACCGAGTCAGCACTCTGCCCGCGGGCAAAAGAAATAAACCCATGGCTTACGGCATGCCATTCGGGAGCCTCAACCCTAAAATTTTAGGGTTGAGGCTCCCGAATGGCATGCCCCCGACTGGGGTTTATTTTTTTTCTTGCCCGCGCTGACTCGATTGGACTGCCTGCTGACGCAGGCAGTGCAATATATATTCCAGTTCCGAGCTTATGGCGTGAGCGCACATTCTGTAATTTCTTTGAGAAGTTATACAAAATATACAATGTTACTGTACATGCTGAATCTTACGCAAATTGTTCATGGCGGCGTTGCTGCAAATTGGCTTTGGTCCGAGCAGATCCGTCCGTGAGTTTCGGCTAGAGGGCCCGTCAATGCGTAGCAATCATGACGAGCACAACAGACGCGACGAGGCATCGACGGCTCTCGTAGGCCATTCATTACAATCCAATGGTACAGTAATTCCTGACCAGATGCCCCCATCCCGAATAAAAAATCAACGCCATGAGTTCGTGTGGCTCCTTTATGCGTCGCCCGTGTTCGTCCGATAGGCGGTCATCCTGACCTCAACACCACATCGAGGGTGCAAAATGGTTCATGCTTCGCTTGGGCACGACCTTCCAGATACCTGGGCTGCCCAAATGCTTCAGCCTGCCCAGAAATACCCATCTCTTACCACACACATTCCCTCGGTTCCCCTGGGCTCCGCGCGATCTCTTATGGGCCAACATCATATACATGCAAATTAGTCTGGTAACCCTATTCGATGGTATGCAAAACCGTCGATACCTCGGTTTTGGAGGTATTGACATATTGCCGTAGTATCACGATTCTTTTGAATCAACGCACTGATTTCTACCGCGCTTGTATTTCCGCTGAACTTCGATTTATTCGGGCGACTATTCGCCAGATGAGCAACACTGTTCACTATACCTGACAGAAAAAATAAAACCCCGTGGGAAAGGGATGCACTTGGGGAGGCATCAACCCTAAATAAAATGCCTTTCCCGTGTTTAGGGTTGATCCCTCCCTGAAATGAGTCCAGGTCCCTAGGGGTTTTATTTTTTTCTTGCCTGCCCTAACAGTACCCGGTAGCAATATATGGGGTGCAATATATTGTTACAAAAATGACACCGTTAACTTTCATTCGACGGATTTTTCTGTTTATCGTGCACATTTAACGGAAAATTGTTGGCCGCAGGAATCTTTGTTAGGCGTCAATCAAAGCGCGGTGAAAAAAACTAGAAAACGAAATTGAAAAATTCAATCGATTGTTTCACTCATTGCATCCTTTTTGTGCTGCATCAGCTGTTACACAGTGTTTTATGTGGCGCTACCAGACAAATTTGCGAAGCAGAACTGGGGTATCGACGGTTTTGCATACCATCGAATAGGGTTACCAGACTAATTTGCATGTATATGATGTTGGCCCATCTCTTATCGTGGCGTGCGGTCAGGGCAAGCGCACTCCACAAACACGCCACACCAGCAACACCGCACCACACATCAGCCCCACCTTCCCCGAGCGTCCTTTCAACCGAACACCCCACCATCCCCCACACCCCCCACCCGCAGCCCCCCATGTCCTCTTCCCCTCTTTCCCCCTGTCCCCTCCATTCATCCGCACTCCGTCTTTCCGCCTGGACCGTCTCTCCACAGCCCCTAATCTCTCCTCCCCTCGAGTGCTCTCCTCTCCTGTTCTCCCTCTAGGTTCACTGTCTTTGGCCGCCATATCCTCTTTGCCCTAGAATCCAGCCACTGTTGAATCTTCTGCTGTAGTTTACGTTGCCCGAAACTGCTTGTGCCTGAGCTAAGGGCTAGTCTAGTTCTTAGCGTTCTTAGTGTTCACCAATCCTGGATACACCCGTCTTTTTCTCGTTTTAGGAACCAACCGCATTCCAATGGCGATGCTTCGGTACAGGTAAGGCCTTGTAGGGGGTGCTTGAATTCCGCCGTTCCCGCTCCCTTTCCGTTACGTTTTCCGTCACGTTTCATCCATCAGCCGCCCCGCTCTGTGGTTTCCTCATGGCGTATGCCGTCGTTATTTTCTTACATTCTCTATATTTTTCTTTTTTTAATGCGTGAACACCACGGCAGGTCCTCTGTGCATTCCGGCGCTCCATCCGTTGGACCTATTTCTCGATTTAGTCAGTTCTTTCTGTTTGTAATATTCGTCTTCCTGACCGGTGCGCTCCGGGCCGATAATGACCGTCAGATCTCTCTTTCCGAAGCAGCAACCTACGCACGCGATTCGTCGACAGCAGCTCGGCCGAGCATCAACAGCCTCGCCTTCTCCGGCTCTGCTTCCGCGACATTCGCCGCGAAGGCTGGCGGAGATTTGCGAAAAGAGTCGCGAACGGACGGCTCCTTACACATACGTCAATCGTCACCGCCACCGCCATTGCAACCTATAGGAGACGCCCATTCCCCGGATTCCGCCATAGACGCGCAAACACCACATAGCACAGACGCCAGACCGAGAGACTTACCTAAAGCAGACACCGGTTCAAGAGATAAGAAGCCCGAGCGAGCGAAGGGGAGAATAAAAACCCGGCAGAAATCCGCAGCAGCCGCAGCACCTGCAGCTCCCGCACCTGTTGAGGATTCCGGAGGGGCATCGACGCGGCTAGGTGATTCTAGCTACCCTAGGCTAGGTGACATCAGCCTGCCGCCGAATGCGCCGGAGGGTGCGCTGGCGATGTTTGAAGCGGATTTAAACACGCCGTCGCTATGGGAGCTTCCGGGAGGGGTTAGAACGTTCCCAACGCTGCTGTCTTGGGGCGCTCGATACGCGTGTACGACTACGCCGCACACGCTATGGATCATAAATCTGTCTCGTCATAGAGAGCTGGTTATCGAATCCGCTACAAGCAGTTCTTTCGATTTCTATATGGCGAGCTACATGGCAAGTTTCGACGAGTTCGTTATCAAGCCTCGGTCGGCTAGTTTCATCAGTCTTTTTTTCCTGCCCCGGGCACTAGGAACTATAGACGGGAATTTGACGGTAGAGACTAGCGCAGGGCCGATTGTAATTCCGCTGTTTGGTTACGGTCTTCCGTCCCCGTTTAGCTTGGAACCGAGAACGAGTTTAAGAACGTTGCCCGGGCAGCGGATCATACACCCCGTTTGGATGCAGAATACAATGCCGTGGCCCGTTACGATCACCGACGTACAATCCAAAGTGGATGTGTTTATATCGGGGGAAGACGGCCCAATGGAGCTTCCGCCGGGTTCTAGAAGCGAGGTGAAGATAACGGTGGGAGGGGTGGAGCTTGGAATGGAAGATGACACGTGGTCGTACCTACGTGACGCTATAGGGAGTGATATTATAGTGAAGCCAGGGGGAACAGAGGAGGTGCTAGTGATTGAGGCGGTTCACGGTGATGTTGGGAGGCTATCGCTAAGTATTTTTCTTAAAGTCGAAGCGCACGCGGATTGCGACTGCGAGTACCTGCTGCTGCCGATCGATCTGACGACGTCGCCAGGTGGCGTCGTCTCAATGGCGGATGAGATCGACTTCGGCACGCTGACGTCAGCGCGGGACACGGTGATCCGCCATGTGGAATTGGGGAACGTGGGCAGCACCATGGCGACCGTGGAAGACGTCCGGCTCGCGGTCAGAGACGAACATTTGCAAGCTGCCCGTTTCCGCAAAGGACAGCAGCTGCCGCCCGGGAAGGTTGTGCAAGTTGCTGAGTTGAAATACGCGGGCTATAGCTTGTCGGCAGGTTTAAGCGGGAAAGCAGGAGGGGGAGGGGGAGGGGGGGGAGACGGAGGACCGGAAATCGAGGGTTTTACGCGTAGGGGACGTGTAGTGGTGCAGACGGCGCAGTCAAGCCCGTCGCTTGTAGAGGTGCCGTTTAAAGCGCGGATAGTTCTGGGTAGCGTGACAGTGGAGCCTGTCGAAAACACTGTCTTTTTCTTCGCAGCAGCACCTGAGAAAGAGAAGCAGCCGGCAGGAGAAATTTCCGGGCAGCCTGGGGGAGAAAACATTGGGTTTGTTCGATCTGCAGTGACCAAGGAGTTGGTCCTGCGAAATAAGTTTTCCTGCCCGGTGCTCGTATACGATGCGTTCTTTTCGCACGACTGCATTCAGGCCAAGGATTTCCCGTCCTCTCTGCTTCCCCCCGGCGGCATCAGCAAACCGTTTCTTTTGCAGCTGAATCCGGAGAAGCTGCCGCTATCACTCACTATAGTGAACTTCACTATAGCGACGAATGTGAGTGATATGGTTGTGCCACTGCACGTGCTGCCTGGGTTATTGGAATTGGACGTTCCGTTGACAGCAGCAGCAGCAGCAAAAGTTGCAGCGACAGCCGCAGATAGCAGCATGAGTGCTTCCCGCTCTCCCACCTCCACCCGCTCTAGTACCCAGAAAGGGGCGTTAATGGGAAGTGATGGCACAAGGGTTTTGGGTGAGCAGGAAGAGGAAGAGGAGGAGGAGGAGGAGGAGGAGGCGGGGTTTCACGTTGGGGGAGATGCAAGCACGCATTCTGATGGTTGGTTCGAGGGGGGGGAGGAGGAGCAGCAGGAGCAGCAGCAGGAGGGGAACAGCCGCGGGGTTTTGGACTTTGGCTTGATTCTCCCCGGTTCCAGGCGAAACATATCGTTTCGCTTGGCCAATCCGGGCCCGTTCCCGATCGCCATCATGTCCGCATCATGCTCATCCCGCCACGTCACCGTCCACGTCAGCGACGTTATCCACATGGAGGAGAGGGAGGCAAGGCGCGCCCCGGTGCCTGTGGCCCTGTCGTCTGCTCTCCCGTCCTCCCAGCATCATATTTTCCACCTCCCCATTAGGTTACACCTGCAGACGCTTGCTAGGTCATCTGAAGAGGGGGGGGGAGGGGTTGGCGGGATAGGGGCAGCAGCAGGAGCAGGAGGGGCAGGAGGGGCAGGAGGGGGAGGAAGTGCAAAGAAAGGAATGAGGAGCAGCGGCAGCGACAGCAGCGAGAGTCGTAGTAGTAACACTGGCAGTGGCTCCGTCAGCAGTGGGAGTACGGCTACAGCTTCTAGTACGAGACCGTCGCTGGTGCTCAAAAGCCCGCGTGCAGGCGAAGATGTGGTTTTAGAGTGCGAGAATTGCGGACTGTTCAGCATTCCAGAGTTTCATACTGCGGAAGTGACTGTAAAGTTTGTTCCTGTAACGGAAGGAGCAGGGTCGGAGCTGCTGGTGCTTGAAACGAAGCACCAATTAGTGAAGCTTGATCTCAAATACGCATCCTTTCGAGGCGAGATTGCGGTTTCCCCGAAGCTTCCGCTCGTGTTCCCGTCGCTCTTTCCAGGAAAGGCCCACAGGATAAAACTCTCGGCCAACAGCACCTTCCCTCATCCCCTTGTTGTGACCGGAATTAGGGTTTCGGATTCTAGGGTTTCCGCTGATCTCAAGGGTACCGTGCTGGGGCCATCTAATGAAACGGAGTTGGGCGATCTTGTGTTTTCCATGCCCTTGCGCGAAACCTTTGTGACTGCAAGCGGAGGTGCTTCTAACGGGAGCGAGAGCTGGGGTCGGATGCTGGAGAGGCTGCAGGATGGTGGGAGGAGGAGCCCAGGCGGTGATAATAACGAGGGGAGGGACCCGTGGGGTGAAGGTGTGACTAAAGAGGAACGGGAAACAGCACAGGGGAGGCTGGATGAGTGGACGCGTGTGGTGCGTGCAGGCGAGAATGTGATTGTATCCTCTTTGGTTCTTGAAACGGAGGTGATGGAATCAGAGCATGTGGAGGTGAAAGGGGTGCTGGCGAAGCCGCGAGTGGTGTCAGAAGCTTCGTCTAGTTTGCAGTTTGGTCGGGTACAGGTGGGAACAGCAGCAGGGGAGATGGTTTTGGTGCAGAATCCGAGTGACTACCCCGTGCGTGTGCGCCTGGTGATGGATGAACCGTCGGGATTCAGGGTTTGTGGGAATGGGAACGGTGGGAATGGCAATGGTAGGGGCGGAAGCGCTAGTAAGGGTGTTGGCAGTGGGGGAAATGGCGCTAGTGGGGGCAACGGCGGTGGTGGCAGCAGCAGCAAGAGTGGTGCTGGGAGCAGCAGCAGTGGCAGCAAGGGTGGGAGTGGCAGGAGCAGCAAGAGCAACAATGGTGCCACAACCAGCAGCACCAGCAGCGGTGGCGGCGGCGGCAGCGGTGGCAGCAGTAAATCCGGTTGCTCCGGGGGAGAACCAAAGGGCCCGCCCTTTTGCCCCGTACCCAACCCTAATCCCGCTCCGCCCTCCCCCCTCCTCCCAACCCGCTGGTTAGCCGCGGCTGGTATTTCCCCCTGGACCCTTAACTTAGCCTCTCACTTGAGCGTTCCCTGGCTGGGTTTCGGGGCACCTTGGCTTGGATTGGGCGTAAGGAAGGAGAGCGAGGAGGGTGGGGCGGGTTTTACCTTGGCGCCGGATGCTGTGACGGATTTGATTCTGCCGCCCGGGTGGGAGGGGCGGCTGGGGCCGGTGGTTTTTCGGCCGGATGCTGTAGGGTGTGTGTATAACGGATCAGTCTATGTGCGGAATAATCTGACGTTATTGGAGGAGGTGAGGATGGTGGGGGAAGGGGGATCGGGAGTGCTGCATGTGATAGGCAGTAGAGGGCCTGAGATGCTGCTGATGGTGAATGTGACTGAAGAGCATGTGCTTGTAAAGGAGCGGAGGGGGAGGAGGCTGGTGGGAGCGGCAGGGGGGGCTTATCCGAGGTTTTACGTGACTGAAGTTGAGAGCAGTGTAGGAAAGGTGAAATGGCCAGTTGTGGCCGAGCGGAAGTTTAAGCTGGTTAACCGGGGCGATTTACCCTTGAAAATCACGAGTACGAGCCTGCACGGGGCCAAAAGCAAGGTCGTGTGTTCCCTTCGAGGATTCTCCATACATCCATGCGAGCCCTTCACGCTCGCCCCAGGCCAATCCAACCCTCTTCTCCTCTCTTTCACACCGGACCTCACCTCCACTGTTGTTCGCGCCGTCCTCCATATAGAGTCATCCGCTGGTGCGCACGAGCTTCCGATTCGGGGGTACATTCCGAGGAACCTCGCAGTGATTGCAATAGACGCTGAGCCAAGGCATCCTATGGATTCAGTTATGAAAGCTGTAGTGGCTTCGATGCTGGTAGCCATGTTTGGGCTGCTGGTGCGGGCGGCTGTGTCTCAGCTTACTCTCTTCCCCTCCCCGTGGTTCCCCGGGTTCTCTGCTGCTGCGGCGGCGGCACTGACTAGAAGGCTGCAGAAGAAGCAGAATGCGCTGCTGCTCGCGAATCAGCTTCATGGCTCTGCTGCTGGTGGGGGAGGGGGAGGAGCGCCGGGCGGAGGGGGTGGCGCAGGGGGAGCGGGAGGTGTGGGGCTGGTTGGGGGAGTGGGGGTTGGCGGGGTGGGAGGCGGGGGTTTTGCAGCAGATGCAGAGACGCGAGCGCGAGTGGTCAGGGTTCGAGTCTCGGTAGCGCCGATTTCTGCAGGGAGAGGGCAGGGAGGAGAAGCGGGTGGAGGGGTGAGTGGCGTTGTGGGGATGCATGTTGGCAAGGGACACGACGGGCCTATGGGGGATTCTGGGCCGTCCTGGGTGGTAACCCGAGTGGAGAAGGTTACAGATGGGGCGGATGGGGAGGACGATGGCGTTACTGATGCTGAGATTGGGCTTGGGTTGGAAACGGTGCTTGCAGTGCGGAAGCAGCATATGGAGCAACAGCAGCAGCAGCAGCAGCAACAGCAGCAGGCGGGTTTATCAAGTCAGCAGGCGTCAAGGGCAGTCTTGGTTGCTCCCCAGGCAGTGGAGCAAGGGAAGAAACATACAGGCCAGAAGTCTGACTCTGCAGGAGGTCAGATGGCATCCCAACAACAGCCGGAGCAGCAGCAGCAGCAGCAGCAGCAGCAGGTGTGTGTTGATCGTGGGGCAGGGAAGAGTGACGTGCTGATTGCAAGCGAGGCAACTGTGGCAGCGGTGGCAGTGGCAGCTGGTAAAGCAGCACGGAAGAGCGCAGATTTAGGGACAGCAGGGGCGTTTGCGCCTGGAGCAGGCTCAACTGGGGGAGGCGTAGCTGTTGCAGGTGGAGTGGGAGGGGAGGCATCTGAGGGAGGGCCACACGATTCGGCTCGAGTCTTTGTGAAATCCTTGTCTGTCCCCTTAGGTAGGGGTAAGAGCAGCCAAAAAGAGGCTGATCCTGCTGCTTCTGGTGGTGGTGCTGCCGTGACTGACACGCTGGCTGCTGCTGCTGCTGCTGCTGCTGCTGCTGCTGTGATGGAGGGGAGTACTGGGAGTGATAAGGCTGGGAAGGAGGGAAGTGGGGTGACTTGGATTCCTGGTGCATGTAGCAAGGGGGTTGGTGGTAAAGTGGGGAAGGAGGGTGGTGGTAAGGGGGAGGAGAAGAAGCAGCGTGGGAAGAAGGGGAAGGAGGAGAAGATGAGAGAAAGAGAGTTGGAGAGGGAGAGGGAGAAGGAGATAGAGAGGGAGAAGGAGAGGGTGAAGAAACAGACGGAGATGGAGGCTCATCGTGAGGAGTCAGGTAAGTTGAAGGAGAAGGAGCAGGGACGGAAGGAGGACGAGAGTGAGAAGGAGAAGGAATTACAGAAGGGAAAGGAGCACGAGGTTGGGCTGAAGAAGACCCAAAAGGAGGAAGGAAAGAAGGGAAGAGTCAAGGAGAAGGAGAAGGAGAAGGAGAAGGAGAAGGAGAAGGAGAAGGAGAAGGAGAAGGAGAAGGAGAAGGAGAAGGAGAAGGAGAAGGAGAAGGAGAAGGAGAAGGAGAAGGAGAAGGAGAAGGAGAAGGAGAAGGAGAAGGAGAAGGAGAAGGAGAAGGAGAAGGAGAAGGAGAAGGAGAAGGAGAAGGAGAAGTGTGCAGAGACTGACGAGGTGAAGGAGAAGGGATCAAAGACTGAGAACGGAGACAAGAAGGGAGAGGATGGGAAGGGCGGGAAGAAGGAGGAAGAGGGTGGGAAGGAAGAGAAGAAGCCGGGAGTGGCGGAGAAGCTGGGTGCTGTCGACAGGAAGGTTGCAGAGGAGAAGCAAGGTGCTGTTGAGACGGGGAAGAAGAAGAAGAAGGGCGGCCAGGCAGCAGCACGTGAGCCGTCGCCTGCTCCTAGTGCCCCTGCTGCTGCTGGTTCTCCTCCTGCGAGCACTGCTCCTGATCCTGCTGCTGTGGTCGCTGAAAAATCTGCTGGGTCGAAAGAGAAGGAGGGCGCAGAGCTTGGCAAGTCCGCTGGCAGTGAGGATTCGAGCAGGACCGGAGGGAAGCAGGCAGGAGAAGGGAAGGGGAGGAAGGAAGGGAAGGAGAGAGGCAAGGATCAGCCGAAGCTGGTCCCTGTGACGGCCGTTGCCGTGTCTGGATCCCCGGTGGTTCGCTCTCCTGTAGAGAGCCCAACAAAGGAGGGCGGTGGTGGGAAGAAGCAGGGGTCTGGAGAGAAAGAAAGGGAAGGAAGCGGAGGGAAGGGGAAAGAGGTGTCAGGAATTAGGGGGGCTGCTGTGGCCTCTCCTCATCGCGCTCTCAGACAGCCGTCTCCGGCCCCATCAGCTGGTCAAAGTGCTGGTAGCAGCAGCAAAAGAGATGCCTCAGGTGCTGGGATCAGTGCTGCTTCTGCGAACGATCTTGCTCTGGCTGGTGCGAAGCCTGTGGCTACTGGAAAGACTGCTGCTGCTGCTGCTGCTGCTGCTGCCTCTTCTGCTGGTTCTACTGCTGCTGCTGCTGCCAGTGGTGGTGTTGTCTCAGCAAACGATCTTGCTCTGGCTGGTGCAAAGCCTGTGGCTATCGGGAAGACTGCTGCTCGGGCACTGCTCCTGCAGCAGCAGAAGGAGAAGGAGCAGCAGGCAGCGCAACAGAAGCTTCAGCAGCAACAGGGCCAGCAACAGCAGCAGAAGCTTGTTTTGGACGGGAAGGCAGGCCGTGCGTCTGTAGCAGCAGCTGGTGCATCTGGCATGAGGGTTACCCCAGAGAAAACAGGTTCTGCTGCTGGACGGGGTAAAGCAGCTGCTCCCGGCGGTTCAGCTGGCTCGGCTGGTTTACCCACTGGCAGGCAAGTTGCTCGTTCCTTCTCCCGCTCCCCACCACCACCGGACCCATTTTCTCCCCCTGCAAATGCAGCAGCAGCGGCACCAGCAGCAGCAGCAGCACCAGCAGCAGCAGCAGCAGCACCGCCCTCAGCAGCGCAGCCAACAGCAGTTGGTGAAGGCGTTGCGCACAGCTGGCATGTTCCGATATCTGCTTCTTTCTCTTCCCCTCTGCCTGCGGGATTAGGGGGGCTAGGAGGTGGGGGAGGAGGAGGCGGAGGAGGAGGAGCGAGCAGGATGGCGTCTATTCCCAAGACTCCTTCCTTTGTCAACACCTGTTCGGACCCTATCCTGGTGCATCGGCGCCTTCCTCCCTCCTCCACCCCAGTTGCAATCGGCAGCGGCAGCAGCACCAGTAGTGGTGGCGGCGGTGGCAGCGGTGCTGGTTCGGCAGCTGCAGATTCCTGGAAGGTTCCAGGGTTGCTGAGCCCGGGTAGTCGAGTGGGGAGTTATCTTGGTGGGGGGAGTAGCAGTGGGGGGAGCGGTGGCAGCAGGGGGGAGCTGGCAGCTGCTGCGGATTTGGCGGTAGGCTCGTTTGCCAGGAGTGGTAGCAGGGAGGATGGGTTGCATGGAGCTGTGGCGTTTGGTGGCAGTCCTGCTGCTGCTGGTGCTACTGCTGCTGCTGCTGCTGCTGCTGGAGGTACAGCCGTTGCTGCAGCTTCGAGGAGTGGGGTGCGGTTGGAAGGTTCTTCAGGTGGCGGGCTGGCAGGAGCAGGTGAAGATGAAACAGCTGTGTATGACTTATGGGGTAACCATTTTGATCACCTTGCATCGTTTGGGTCATCCCCACACCCAGCAGGCATCTGCCACCCATCGAGCCTCTTCTTTTCAGACCGAGGCTTTCTCACCGCCTCTCCTCCTCCGCCCACCGCCTCCTCTGTACCCCACTCCTCGGGAATCCTCGGGCCTTCACTCATCCACGGTTCGCCCTCCTCTCCTCGCTCCCCGCGCGTGATTGCACCACCTGCCAGAGCGAGGGATGCTCTGTCACCCCCTCGTGACCAGTATCTCTTCTCCTCTGCCATATCTGGAACTCCTGAGTCTGACAGCCTTCCCCGTCGCCCCTCTACCGAGCTCTTCTCATCTCCTTTTGGGGGGTTTTCTCTCTTTCCTACGACTTCACTTTCTGCTTCTTCGCCTGGAGATGCTGTTCTAGGCCCTCCTTCCAGGTCTGCTTCTCCTGCCCCATATGGATACCCGGATCGAGGGGGTGGGTTGGGAGCAGGATGTGTGGGGTCGGGAAGCGAAGGTGCAGTTACCACTGGTGGGTTGTTTGGTCAATCTTCAGGGGATGCAGGGCTGCAGGGTCCTGTGAGCTCCCCGTTTGGGTTTGGGGTTTCAGGAATCGACATGGAGGCATATCTGAATGGTGGGGTTGCAGCGGATGCTGGCAGTCCTGCGTTTATGAGGACTTCGGATGTGGAGTCGTTCTGGTCGCACGGAGCTCCAGAGCAAGCGCTCCATGCGCATATTCCTTCTAGTGGAGAGAGTGATGACACAAGCACACAGCCCTGAAGACATGATTATACGATTACTACACCTGGAAGATGTGAAGATCTGGCCCGGCTATTGTCAGTGGCAAGTTTCCCTGAAGGCATTGTGTCAATTGTCAAGTGAGGTGTTACTTGAATTAGCAGTCAACAATCTCAGGTTGTTCATATGCGAGAGTGCATCCTTGTACAATTCCTTTGTTCACATTCCATAATATGATCAGCTTCCCTTTGTTGATACGTTCAACCAAGATGCAATGTAATTACTTCCCATCTGCATAGAATAAGGGATAATTAGATGATGTTTGTGGAGGAGCACCAGAAATGGGCCCACACTTCATCAAGAAGTTGCTGCACAAAGTGGAAACCAGCTCAAACTGCTGCACTGGATAGACATCCACGGGTTGAGCATGGTAAGTGTCGCTGTGCTGTCTGCTGGTTGGAGCAGAGTATATCAGCGTATATCAAGGTGCAACAAGAGCCTTGCAGGGCGATCCATGGATCTGGCAACGTTTGCCTTCTCTTCCTGCTCCACTTCATATCCAGATTTGAGATACAACAGTCGTGCAGGGTCGTTATTCTTGACGACATGAACATACAGATGCTCCACACCTGCAGCTCAGGTAAGACAGAATGTAAGTCCGCTGAAACATGATTCTTGAGAAAGCATGAATGCGGTTGAGCAGATGCCGTAGCCACGACTCACCCCAACTTCGTGCAAGATCTCGTGCAGACTGCATCAATCTGTAGGCAACTCCAAGTCTTCTGGCAGCTGGCGCCACGCAAACATTAGATAGATAGGCTCGTCTTGACTCTATGTGCAACCCCTGAGCACAAAGTATTGCCAGTCGGTTACCACCAGAAGACGAGGAAAAGGACCTAAAGTACGCTCTCATGACCACAGCAATTCTGATTAGTGAGCACCTTATCAGGGTACTTTCCGCCAAGATTTTCACCAGGCAAGCGAAGCCCTAAATTCAGGTCCAAAGTTCCAACAACCCATCCGTGAGCGACTTGCAGAGATGCACGCTGAGTACGAACATAACAAGAACAGGCAGTCAGTCAACGTCAACAAAAGCAGGAAAATCTTCTGAGAATTAACGACCTTACAGGCTCTTGACCAGGTTGCAAGATTGCGCCGCTGGGTTCAGGTACAGTGGCTACTAAACATGAGACCCGGTTGAAGCCAGGAAGGAGTCCAGCAACCTTATCTTCCAAGCATTGCGCCTCCTCCATGGCCTTCATAAACAAATGTCGCTGCAAAAGGAACCATAAAATAGGTTACGTCCAGTTCTGCGGAGAGGGAGGGGCAAAGGGGAAAAAGGTAGCGGAAAGCTACTGCGATTTTCTGTACCTCAACGAATTCTGATGAACGGTCAGGGGGACAAGTGAAGAAGCAAAACGACCGAAGGGACGCAGCAGCTCTGAGTTCGGTTGATGAAACGGCCTCCTCCACTCGTACAGTGCATGGAGATGAGGCAAGCTCCGCTCTGCTCCATGAACTGAAGCGTGGAGAACGCAAACTCTTCGACAACTTGATTTCCTTAGAGGACGAGACTCTCAATCTGGTCCTTGAAATTTCCAAGCATGTTGAGGGGAATACATTGGGAAACCTATACTGGCAAACGGCACCACACGCCATGGTAATCCTAAACTCGTCGTTTTAGTCTAAAAATACCACCACCAGGGTGGCGAAATTTAAATTTGTGCCAAGCCGTTCAATCCAAGCAGAGAGACGAAGACAGCATACGACTCTCCCGTCAATTCCAAGGTGTAACATTCGAGCGTGAGTGTAACTTTCATGTGGCTTCGCATTGAATTGTTACCCATCTCGACTTTCAAACATCTGATGGGACTTCCAATTCTCCTTTCAGAGGAAGCCGTCTGCTGTTGGTTTGAAGTGGATTTTTACGCGTATGTCAAGTCACGGGGCGTGGATTCTGGAATTTTTGGGAGTCCCCATACGCCGACGTCCACTCGCCGCCGGTTTTCTGGCTGGAACTGAGAGACCCCTGAACCCTCATCCACGTCATCATGGGCACACCTTCCAACACACTGGGACCCGTGGTGGCAGGCAATCGAGCCAGATCATTTCCCTACCACTAGTTACCGAGTCGCGGGCCCGCGCTAAAGTGAAGGCAGGTGCTGGGGATTGCCAGCCCAAGAAAATTTGTTCTGCCCATATTTTGGTGCTGCTGACATGGGAACAGCTGGGCACAAGGGCAGCGACAAGATCGAAATTTACTGTGCGTAGCCGAGCAAGATGGGCTTCGTGTTGGGGGATGGGAATGGTTCTAGTCTAGACTAGAGTTGGTGGCGCTTCTTTCCGCAACGGACTTCAGCGACTGGCTTTTATTTCTAGCTTGTTTTCTCTCCCACTTCTCCCGTCGTGAGGCGATCCCGTCACTTCCTTGCCGATCTCGCCGACCAGAATTTACTTGACTTGATCAACTTGTTCTAGTTGACGCGCGCAACGCGATCTGAGCGCGTTGTGAGGAGAGCAATATGGCCTTGGCGGGCCAAAGATTAGCTCAGGCGGCCGGATCGGTCATAGGATCTCAAGCAGCTGTGTTTTGGAGGCAGTTTTCCAATCTGTCGCGAGAAGTCGCACCAGCTGCGCGGCGGCTGGCGACAGAGCCTCAGCATGCTCTGAGCAGTGCGGACAGAAGAATACAATGGGTCTTTTTGGGTTCACCCGGTGCAGGAAAGGGTACATACGCAAGCAGACTGAGCAAGTACCTCAATATTGCTCATATCTCCACGGGCGATCTCGTTCGTGAGGAGTTGAAGAACGGATCGCCGATCGCGATCAAGGCAAGTATGGAGGGCGTTGACAGAAAGTTATCCCCAAGTAATGTTAATTCACAATGTGCTGATCCCACGACACGTGGATCGTGTAATCTTCTTGGCAGATGCAAGAAGTAATGAATCGCGGTCAGCTTTTATCTGATGATATTATCTTCGACCTACTATCAAAGCGGCTAGAGCAGGGTGTTGTCACGGGCGAAGGTGGCTTCATTCTGGACGGATTTCCTCGCACAGCCGTACAAGCAGTAAGTTTCACGGGGGCTTGGGAGGCTAGTACGTCGCGATCCGCATGCGAGTAGGCTGTAAGTGCGACGACCATTAATCTGCTTGTGATTGGAGTTTGTCGCACCCATCTGCCCCCTGTTCTGGCTCTGGCAGGGTCATGATAAGCCATTTCTCCATTGTTGATCGCTCGGTGCATGCGGTCCTGATCCTTTCATTTTTGTCCCTTGCAGGAAGTGTTGGAGTCTATGACACAGATTGACCTGGCAGTGAACCTAACCCTTCGGGAGGAAGTCCTGGTTCAGAAGATGCTGGGGCGTAGATTATGCTCAGACTGTGGCGGTAATTACAATGTTGCCAATATTGACATCCCCGCACAAGATGGAAAGCCAGCCATTTTCATGCCTCCACTGCCAGCACCAGCTGGTTGTGAAGGCAAGCTTGTCCAAAGGGCGGATGACACAGAGGAAACCGTTCTGGCTCGTCTGAAGGTTTACGAAGAACTGGTGAGGCTCCTTTGGTCGTTGATCCCTGCAGATGCCTTGGATTTTCCGTTTCTATCCTGAATCCACGTTATGGCATGTTCCTTGTGCAGAGCAAGCCAGTGGAAGACTTCTACTATGAAAGAGGTCGCTTGATGGAGTTCGAAATTACAGGTGGGATTCCTGAGACATGGCCACGTTTGTTAGCCTTTCTAGGAGTTGATGGCCATTGTGAGGCACTGGAAAGTGGTACTAGGTAATGAGGAAAGCATAGGTACCTGTAGGTAGGTAGGCACCTGGGACAAGTACCTAAGCTTGCCTTGTCCACATATTAATGTAGTGTATACCATGTCAAGTGTCATTTCTCAACAAGACACTCCAAACCTTGCGTTAGATGGCTTGATGCTTCGAGGCTCCAAGTGAATGCGTGAACCATCCATACGGTACCGAGGGGAATGGCAGCTGTGCCCCCCTGTGGATGTACTGTGATATATCATACTTCACAAACCAGTGGCTGAAATGGTTTCCTGAAAGGTGGGCAGCACAGATGTACACACATTTGGCAATACCGGTATCATGATGGCCTTGGATATACCAGCATCCTGGCTTAGAAGTGTACATATAATCACATGAAGTTCATCTCGATCCCTGAAAGCAAAGACCAAGCAAAGCCCCAAAAGTGTTCGCGCAACTAAAATATGAACAGAACGTGAGGGCTGCAGTACACGTAGCGCCTGTCAGGGAGTAAATGCGCGCTGATTTGCCGCTTCCTGTCAACTGGCTTCAAATTCTTCGCCACTTTTACTCGCATCGCACCCTTTTCGCAAAACAGTGAGCGAATCTCTTGTGGCCATCCACAACATCGCCGCGCAGAGAATCACCCCACATAAAGTCGCAGAAGCAGGCGAGCTCGAAGGTCATCCGGGATCTATTCAATCGCATGCTGTTTTCTCGAGCCATAGTCCCGAGCCGTACGATCTTCAGGAGAGTCGCAATCGCAACGGAATACAGTCCCCAGTCGCTCTTGTTTCTAGCATCTTCCATCAGTTCAGGGGAAATTATACAGCTAGTCACAATTAGGCCCGGTTTATCACGTTTGGTCACGGGGGTATCACGAACAGTCACAGTACACTTCGTAACTATCACGTGTGATCACAGTGCTATCACGGATGGTCACACCTTGCCCCGCAAGTCTATCACGTTTGGTCACAGATGAAACGCCCAATCGAAAAATGTAACTACTCGAGTCACTGTTTGGATTCAGGGGAAATTAAATCACGCGCGCCGTTTTGTCCGTAGCGTTGCGAGACGACATTAGTTACGAAATATTTTCGCGACCGATCTCGTCAACTCGCTAAAAACATCTGGAACATTGGAAAGTTGGCTCATTGCGCATTGTTCACTGTGGAATTATCCACTGTCCGATCGATGCATAGTGTCCCTAAGAATATCACTTTTAGAAGGATGAAACTCGAATGTTATTTCTGCTTCCCGAGAAAAATAACTAAAACCCGTTCGGATGGGATTTCCTTTGGGAGGCATCAACCCTAAACACCTTGTCGCAAGGTGTTTAGGGTTGAGCCTCGCGAAGGGCGTGCCCTCCTTTAGGGGTTTATTGTTTTTCTTCAGTCCCCTAAATGTCAGGCTTATTTCATGCGCGAGGGTAACAAGCAATCGAGATTGGGAATCCCCAAAATCTCTACAGTTTCTTTTGTGGTTTCAAATCAATAATGCTCGTATCATCGAGTGACCAAACGTGATAGCTTTTCGGGGCGAGTTGTGACCATCCGTGATAGCACTGTGATCACCCGCGATAGAAATCTACTGTACTGTGACTGTTCGTGATGACCTAGTGACCAAACGTGATAAAATGGGCCTAATTGTGACTGCGCGTATAATTTCCCTCAGTTCAGTTCCCTCTTCTTTTCAGGAGTCAGGACGCCTCGGATCTGGATTCTGGAACTTTGGTGTACCAGCAGCAGCAACCCTGATTCAGGCAATGACCCACAAGCTTTGCCTGGAACCATATTTTATCTTTGTCACAATCAAATGATACTTCTATCTGGAGTATTGGTTGTGTTTAGCCCTAGATTCCAGGACGTGCAAGATAGAAGCTAGTTCGTAGGAGGTTAGACCTGATCCGCGTAGTTATTAGTCTCTTTCCACGGGCCCGTTTTTGTTTCCAACCTGACGTGCTAAAACTCTTAATTGTTGTTTCCTCCTTACAGTATGGATATTACACAGGTTCTTCTAAATGCTCAGTCCCCTGATGGCAATGTCAGAAGGTTGGCGGAGGAAAACTTGAAGCAGCTTCAGGATTCCAACTTTCCAGGGTACCTAGTTTCCTTGTCCCTCGAGCTTGCGAATCCGGAAAAGCAGACAGATTCTCGTCGGCTTGCTGGTCTCATTCTGAAAAACTCTCTCGACGCGAAGGAGTCTACTAGGAAGACCGAGTTTATTCAACGCTGGATTGCTCTAGATGCTGCTATCAAGGGACAGATCAAGGCCGCTCTGCTGGCAACCCTTGGATCCCCAGTCCAAGATGCTCGTCATACATCGGCTCAGGTTATTGCAAAGATCGCTGCCATTGAGCTTCCACGGAATGAGTGGCCTGAACTCGTCGTAGGCTTGCTCGGCAACATGGGATCGCCAACTCAACCGCAGCCAGATCACCTGAAAGAGAGCACTCTCGAAGCTCTGGGATTTGTTTGCGAGGAGATCGCCGGGACTGACTCTTTGGCGCAAGAGCAGGTCAACAGTGTGTTGACTGCTGTTGTGCAAGGGATGAACAAGACGGAGCCGAACAACGACATCAGGCTGGCTGCTACGAGAGCACTCTCCAACGCTCTTGAATTTGCCCAAACCAACTTCGAAAACGAGGTGGAGCGGAACTACATTATGACTGTCATCTGTGAAGCGTCGCTGTGTCCAGACGTGAGGGTTCGGCAAGCTGCATTTGAGTGCCTGGTGGCCATCGCGTCGACCTACTACTCGAAGCTCGCACCGTACATGAACGACATTTTCCAGATCACGGCCAAGGCGACGAGAGAAGATCAGGAGCCCGTTGCTCTTCAAGCCGTGGAGTTGTGGTCGTCGATCTGTGACGAGGAGATCGAGCTACAGGAAGAGTACACTGCGGATTCTGAAGTTACGAATTTCAATTTCATTAAGCAGGCTCTTCCGGCGCTCGTTCCTATGCTGCTGGAGACTCTGACGAAGCAAGAGGAGGGTCAAGATTCGGATGAAACGGCGTGGAATTTGGCCATGGCTGGAGGTACCTGCTTGGGTCTGGTTGCCAGAACGGTGGGGAATGATATCGTTCCGTTAGTCATGCCGTACGTCCAGGAGAACATCAGCAAGCCAGAATGGAGGAACAGGGAAGCGGCGACGTACGCGTTCGGATCTATTCTTGAGGGTCCTGATACGGAGCAGCTGGTACCTCTGGTGAACAGCGCTCTGGGATTCATGCTGAACGCGATGAAGGACGAGAATGCGCATGTGAAAGACACAACAGCGTGGACTCTCGGCCGAATCTTCGAGATCGTGCACGGATCTTCACCGGAGAACCCGATTATCAACGCGACGAATCTCCCAGCTATCCTGGCTGTCCTGATCGAGAGCCTCAAGGACGTTCCAAATGTGGCCGAGAAGGTGTGCGGAGCGATTTACTTCCTCGCGCAAGGGTCGGAAGGCAGCGAAGGAGCGCTGTCCCTGACTCCGTACTTCCAGCCGCTCATCACGGCGCTGCTGGCGACGGCCGACAGGGAAGACGCGTCGGACTCGCGGCTGAGATCGTCGGCGTACGAGACGCTGAACGAGATCGTGCGGTGCTCGGGGGATGACACGGCGGCGACGACGGCGCAGCTGACGCCGGTGATCATGGAGAAGCTGGCGCGAACGATGGACATGCAGATCATCTCCACGGATGACCGCGAGAAGCAGAGCGAGCTGCAAGCGCTGCTCTGCGGCGTGCTTCAGGTAAAAGCTGCTCTCCTTTATCTCGTTTCTGTTGCGTGTGCTTTCCGTTTCGCGCTTTGGTTGCACTGATATTTAGGTATTCCTAGCGCTCTACGCTGTTGGGCAAGCAGTTGACTTAGCGTGTTTTTGCTGCTCCGTTTCCTTGCCAAATCAGGTAATCATTCAGAAGCTGGGAGGCAACGACGCGACCAAGGCGGGAGTGACGCAGTACGCGGACCAGATGATGGCTCTCTTCCTTAGAGTCTTCGCCTGCCGCAATGCCACGGTGCACGAGGAGGCCATGCTCGCCATTGGAGCCCTTGCGTACTCCACAGGTATTTGATTTCCAAGATACGATTTACTCTCGCGCTCGAGAGCTTGGATTTCGTGTCGTTTGTCCGCAACTTGGATTCTTTTCTGACGGGGCTGGGGTTGGGAGTTCCCGAATGGACGCTGATGTCGTTTCTCTCCTGCGTGGCTAATGCATTGCTTCATGGTTGCTGAATGCTGCGTGATCGCGTTGCAGGCCCCGACTTCGGCAAGTACATGCCCGAGTTCTATCGCTACCTGGAGATGGGTTTGCAGAACTTCGAGGAGTACCAGGTGTGCGCGGTAACCGTAGGAGTGGTGGGCGACATCTGCAGAGCGCTGGACGAAGCCGTGTTACCCTACTGCGACGGAATCATGACCCAGCTGCTCAAAGACCTCTCCTCGGACCAGCTCCACCGCAGCGTGAAGCCACCGATTTTCTCGTGCTTTGGGGACATTGCGCTGGCTATTGGCGAGCACTTTGCTAAGTATCTCGCTTACGCGATGCCGATGCTGCAGAGCGCGGCGGAGTTGTCGGCGCAGCAGGGGATGAACGATGTGTGGGACGAGGTGGTGGAGTATAACAACCAGCTGCGCGCGGGGATCTTTGAGGCGTACTCGGGGATCTTCCAGGGGTTCAAGGCGACGAAGCCGGAGCTCATGGCGCCGTACGCGGAGCACATTCTGCTGTTCATCGAGAATGTGTACTTGGACAAGCAAAGGTGCGTTGCCTGGGGAGAGGGGTTGAGGTTGGAGGGCGGGGAAGGGTGAGTAGAGAGTGATATGTGATGGCTGGTGTGGTTGAAAATCACACAAGGTGGATGTATCGCGATGGCGTTCATTGAGGATGTGTATGGATGATCAAACAATGGTGCGTCACCTGGGGGAACAGAGGGTAATGTGATGGCTGGGGTGGTTGAAATCGGCACACAATGGATGGCTCGTAGTGGCATCTGTCGAAAATGTGTACTTGATCAAGCAAAGGTGCGTCGCCGGGGGGGGATGGGGGTTGGACTGACACACTGTGGATGTCTCGGAAATGGGCTGTGATTGGAGAGAAAAGGCGTAAACTTATAGCAAAACTGGAACTGTATCAATGGGAAACTTATGTACAAGTGGAGCATGACTGAAGGATTGGGGTATGCATGTAGAAGGGATGTTTCACCCAACAACCTGGTCTCTGGATGTGTGAGGGCGTTACGATTCCTATTGCGTGTAAGTTTTGGTTTTGGGCTGGGTGATGATAAGCCTGTTGTTAAATATTCACGAAGTGTATGAGTTTCAAGTTCACATGAGGGAGCTGTTGCCCGCTGTTGAATTCCCCTGGTTTTTGGGGGGATGGGAGGGAGGGGTGGGGGTGGTGGTGGGGTGTATGGGTGTATGTGCCATTAATCACCAAAGATTACTTAACTTTGGCTTTTGACGATGCAGGGATGAAATTGTCACCAAGGCTGCAGTTGGTGTCTTGGGTGATTTGGCTGACACTCTTGGAGTTGCCGCTGCTCAGCTGTTTGCCACCCACCGCTTCCACCGGGAGTTCATTGAGGAGTGCTTGAACTCAGATGAATCCATCAAGGAGACAGCAGAATGGGCGCAGAGCAGGATAGCAGCCATCACAGCCGCTTCGAGTTGATAGGGTGGACGGGTTTGGGTGCTCGTTCTGACATCACAGTCGTGCAGGCATCACAGACATGCCGGTCTGGAAAAACTTCAGGTCTGGTCTTGGTGTTTGTCAAGGTGTCAAGTCGAGATGTCATGTGCTTTGGAGCATGACGGACTCCTGTTATGGTCTACTCGGCAGTGCTTCACTGTCAAGGCTTAGGTGTTAGGTCGGCCTCAACACGCAGGGCCACAATTGAGTACTGGAGTCTGTCATGTAGATGCATGGGGTCCAGTATGCAAGGGATGTGGAGTACCTGGTCAAGTGTGGCATGTTTATGCATGCTGTCCATTATTTGTGTAGGCGCTCCTAGTGTCGGTCAGTACAAAAAGTTGTCCCTGATGTCCACGTCTACATGTCTAGTATCAATCGAGACATTGCATCTCAGAGATGGAATCTCACTAGGCAGATTTTCTGGGAAAGGCAATGGCTAGACCGTATCATGTCTACCAGATTATGACACAGAAAAGGCAATGCATTTTTATCAAAATCTGGTTTTTATATCCGTTGTGCTGACTTTTTGTCACTGCGTAATGATCTGATTTTGATCCGGCAAACGCGTCAGTCCAAACATGAAGCCTGAGGTTCACGACGGGTCACGATTCACCTCCTGTTCACTTCTAGCAGTTGTGAACTTTGGAGCGTTATTTGAGGTTCACCACTTTCAATCGTTTCTTACCAGTCTGAACATTTTGTGCGTGAACCATAAACGAGCTCTCATGACCCTCCTCCTCACAGCCACACTAGCCCCGTTGCTCCAGGGTTTTGCCGAACAACGCCCTCTAGCCTCCGCCCCCCATCGATGTTCCCTAGGCCTCCTTTCCCATCTGCCCATTCTTTGAGGCAAGCTTCACCAACCTAACTGCTTGCTTCCTCGGTGGTACGTAGGAATCGCGTAGTAATTGCATCTCTCCGTGACCTTAGGGACTTCGCTAGCTTATGATGGACGCTTAGCGATACGGCGTGACGTAGCGAGAGCCGTTGTAATAGTTGGTTTCAGTGGCGTTTGAAGTGTAAGGACGTAGTTTCTTTTTCTCCGCGGAGGAATCTATTTTGGCGGTTTTCCGAGTGCATGACAGGCTTGGGAGGTCGATAATGGCTGGAGGTGATCCAGAACCCGAGCCTGCCGCGGTAGATGCCGCGGAGGAGAAGTTAAGATTGGTTGTGAAACATGGCCAACAGACGCATCAACTGATGATGTCGCCAGGATGCATTGTCAAAGAGTTGATGGAGACGCTGGAAGGGTTAACGAATGTGCATTCAAGGGGTCAGAAGCTTATTTACAAAGGTGCGTCTTTCGCGGCCAGATTGGCTTATTTACAAAGGTGCGAGGTTTATGAATGCGCTGACGCTTTACTAATTCTGTCGCAATATTTGCAGGGAAGATTTTGACCCCTGACATGTCGTTTGAGGAAGCAAAGATCACCAACAACGCGAAGATTATGCTCATGGCAACGGCTGGAGTGCATCAAGGGGTAAGTGATGACGTTTTCGTCGTTTTATTCACTTACCTCGGTATCATACCTATCCACATCCTCGCTATAGTATCTGCAACCGTGCCTCGTTACCGCACCTCGTTGCTTACCTCTCTACGTCTCAATAATATCGCAAACGCCGTTAATGAATGCGTCGCTGCTCCGCTTGCGGTGGTTGTCTCTTGTGAAAATGCGTTCGGTTTTTTCAGGCTGGTGGTAACCATTACACGCTTGGACAATCAGCCAGCCACAGATACGGCAGAGGTCTGCAACGGTCGGTTGCAGCGCCATCGCCGGTTGCATTGGGGCAAGAGAAGGCCAGACAACGGATGTGGGTGCAGACAGGGATCGTGTCTTTACGAGACAGTAACTTGCAGGTACGAGCGCGGTCTGGTTGGCAGCCTTGTACTTTCCCCTCATTTCTTCCCCCTCTCTCCTCCTCCATTACCCTCTGCTACACCCCCTCCTCAGCACACAGACAGAGGTTATACATTTTCTTTCCCGCTTACCTAGACACGCACGCGCACACACGCGCTCGCGCACCCCTTGCACACTCCCGCGCGCGCGCACACGCACATGCACAGTGTCAGAGCCGCAATCGCGCACGCACGTGCACGCACGTGCACGCAGTGTCATGCGCACACGCACGCCCGCACGCACGCGCATTCGCGCGGAGACGCGAGGGCGAGTGCGCTCCGGCACCCGCACACTACTATCTGCCAGTCGAACTCGCGCGCACGCGCATGCGCACGCTCACAGTCACAGTCGATTTCGCACTTGAATTCGCACTCCCATTCGCGTTCGCACTCGCTCTCGCCCTCGCCTTCAGCCCCGCACACGCACACGTGCGCACGCAAAAGCACGCGCACACGCGCACACACGTATATACACGCAATTTGAAGCCTCGACACTTGCTTGCTCTTCAAGCCAATTTTACTTCTCTGTCTTACCGGGTTCAGGTTGTTCCTGGAGCTGTGTGGGTTGCGGGCCCCGCACTACGTGTTCTGGATCTAGGCGGCAACAGCCTTCGGATCTTCCCACCTGCTGTAACAGCATTGACCAACCTGCAGGTCAGACATGTGTATGCTTTTCTATTAGTTACTTGTGAATTAAATGCCATTCTCACAAATTTTCTCCTCTTTTGGTGACTATGGTAATCACTTGGTATGGCAAGCCTATGTCTGCCCTCATTGTCATATATTGATTGGATTGGTTGTGTTTGGTATGATGCTGGTTGGTTGCTTGCTTGCTTGGTTGCAGAGGCTACGTCTGAGCCACAACTCGCTGACAGAAAACACCATAGCCTGGGAAGCCTTGACTCGGCTCCCCAACCTCATGGCTCTCGCTCTCGACCACAACCAGTAAGTGTTTCTTTAGTCATGCAAGAGAAAGCTGGTTGAAGAGGCCACGTCTGTTCGAGCCACAACTCGATGACGCAAAACACCATTGCCTGGGAAGCCGTGACTCGGTTTCCCAATCTCATGGCTCTAGCTCTGGATGATAATCAGTAAGCGTTTTCCTGATTCTGGGCTGACTCGGTTCATCCGGATAGTATTAGGGTTTCGTTTATTTGCCTGGTTGTCCAAAATCCGGTTGTATCAACGGGTGCAGAGCACTTATGTGATATTCAAGAACCCTCAGTGTAATGTTTCAACAGCTGCCACCTCTTACAGCAGCCTCTTCTCGTACACTTGATTTATGCACTACCTCGACCTGCCCCTGCCAACTTTCCACGTCTTACAGCGGCCTCCCACCTTGACCTGCCTCTGCCAACTTTCCACCTCTTGCCATCTTCCTGCCCCTGCCACCTTGGTCTGTTTGAAACCCTGACTCTCTGCTGCAGAATAACTTTTGAGTCGACTCAAAAGTTGCCCCTGCCATCTTCCTGCCCCTGCCACCTTTGTTTGTTTGAAACCCTGACTCTCTACTGCAGAATAGGGCTCATTCCGTCCATCATCGGTCAGCTCTCTTCGCTGAAGAGACTCGCGCTCAGCCGCAACGCCCTCTCCTCTCTGCCGCCCGAGATTGGCCAGCTTCTATCCATACTTCAAACAACCCGCTTTCCCCTTGAATCCCTTGTTCTGTGCTGCAGAATAGGGCTGATTCCGTCCATCATCGGTCAGCTCTCCTCGCTGAAGAGACTCGCGCTCAGCCACAACGCCCTCTCCTCTCTGCCGCCAGAGATTGGCCAGCTGAAGAACCTTGAATGGATCGATGCTGCTCATAACAGGTGAGATAGCGTGGCATTCTAACACCCACCCTTTGGTGGTTAGGTTTCGATTTTATGATCGTTAATTTTTGAGAGAGGTGGAGTTGACACATGTTTTGTCGCATCTCCCAAGACAGTATTTAACATATAATTTACTGTGCTGTTTATTATTGCTCAGGAATTACATCAGCTCCCTTCTTTTCAAACTCACATATGAATGGAACTTTTATTTCTCTCAACCGTGTCCCTTGCAGGTTGGGGATCATCCCACCTTCCATGGCAGAATGCACTTCCCTTGCAGAGGTGCTATTGATCGACTCCTTGCCCAATCTAATATGTTTAGCTGCTGCCTCTTTAGGTGCTTCTGATCCCTTTCCCAATTTGATCCCACTTACCACTTCTTACTTCTGCTTATATTTCCGCTCCATGTGCAAAGGATCGTCTTAGCCTTACTGTGGTTGTCGACACCTACCCAACCCTTACTGCTGCAGGCCAATTTCTCGGCGAATTTCATCTGCCACGTGCCAGCTGCCCTGGGTAGACTCACCAATCTGAAGGTGAGTTGCTGTGGATTTCAGGTGCTTAGGAAACACATGTATATGCCGTGTGTCTGTCTGCCCCTCTATGGTTGGCTTGCCATTTGAGAGTCAGTTGTTATGTCTGAGAGTATGAAAGGGTTGGGGGGGAGAAAGGGAGAGGTGGGGGGGAAAGAGAATTCAATAGAGGGAAGGGGAGAGGAGGTGAGAACACTGTCAGCATATACAGGTGTTGAGCTGGTTAACAAGTGGTTGTTAGTTTTCTGTCAACTGTGTTGATTTCTTCTGTGCAGATTCTTCTGCTGAGCAACAATGCGATCAAGAACTTCCCTTCTGAGGTGCTAACAGGGTGCACGGAGCTCTTCACTCTTTCCCTGCATGGGAACCAAATCACCATTGACCAATTGCGTGAGGTATGTGCACCCTTAGTCCCATCAGAGGGTGCTTAAGCTGTTCACTCATCCTCAGTGGATGCATAGGGTTATTCACTCATCCTCACAGGGTGCACGGAGCTCTTCACTCTTTCCCTGCATGGGAACCGAATCACCATTGACCAATTGCGTGAGGTACGTGCACCCTTAGTCCCATCAGAGGGTGCTTAAGCTGTTCACTCATCCTCAGTGGATGCATAGGGTTATTCACTCATCCTCACAGGGTGCACGGAGCTCTTCACTCTTTCCCTGCATGGGAACCAAATCACCATTGACCAACTGCATGAGGTATGTGCACCCTTAGTCCCATTAGAGGGTGCTTAAGCTGTTCACTCATCCTCAGTGGATGCATAGGGTTATTCACTCATCCTCACAGGGTTCACGGAGCTCTTCACTCTTTCCCTGCATGGGAACCAAATCACCATTGACCAATTGCGTGAGGTATGTGCACCTTGAAAGCTTCAGAGAGTTAAGAGTCACTTCCAGAGTAAATTCAGAGCGTAGTATTTTCTAGGCTCCTCATATGGCTTCTACCTTGTTAATCCTGAGCGTACTGTCTCCCTATGGAGGCGCCTTTGACTTGACCAGCTTGACTTGAGCTACACCATTGCGTTTCGCAGGAGCACGACGGACAACGAGCATTAATTAAGGCTTCTTAGAGGTCTTTTCTACTTTCTCAACAATCTGGTCGTTTTCTCCTTCAATCCATTTCGTTTGCGCTTGCTTGGCAGATTGAGGGGTGGGAGGAGTATGATGAGAGACGGCGGGTTAACTTTTGAGTTGACTCAAAAGTCACCTCAATCTGGTCGTTCTCTCCAATCCATTTCGTTTGCGCTTGCTTGGCAGATTGAGGGGTGGGAGGAGTATGATGAGAGACGGCGGGCCAAGTACAGCAAGAGGCTTGAGTTGCAGGCGTTGGCGTCGTCAAGTGGGTTTGATGAGGGCGCTGATGCCCACCTGTGGCACAATTGGTGATTTTATCTCCCTGTATCTCTCTGCTATGGTATGGTGCACAAGGGGCTTAATTTTTCCATGGAAACATGGTGGTGGGTGAATTTGGGGGACATGTAGAGAGCACTGGGAACAACTGCTGGTCTTGGGGGCCTACGGTAGTTCCACCAGAAATAATTGAGAGAATCAGTATGCTCGAATTGGCAGCTGGGCGGTCTAAGACAGCAAGCTACCGTGACTGGGAGCTGACTTGAGACTTCACATTGTTCCAGCAGGCAGCTACTACACACCAGTTCGGTTTATCCAGTTCTGAGTGTTACCGGTTCTACATAAGGCACCCCAAACACTTAACGGATACACTAATAGAATAGCTTCAACATTTGAACAAATGAATACGGTAATACTGTCCTTCCAGTTCCAGTTCATTAGGAGGCAGCATACGAGGGCAGAGCACTCAGCACATCCACCACCACTCCCCTTGACACCAACACCTGCTGATAGCTGCTGATGCTCCTGCCACCACTGCTGCTGCTGCTGCAGGTACAGTGCCTGGAAAAACTGAACCACGCCTCTTCTTAAAAAGCCGCAGGCCCTTACGACAAGACGTTGGTAAGACAAATGCTGGACAGCATGGGAGGGCAGATGGTGGCGCAGAGCCCTCAATCAACACATCCACCACCACTCCCCTTAACACACGCACACGCTGATTGCCATCGATGCCGATGCTACAGCAGGGACTAGAAACGCGAGACAAGGACTCCTCCTAAGGAGCCTCAACTCAATTGCTTTGAGACAAGACATTGGCTAGACAGATACTGGAAATGGCATGTGAGGGCAGATGGTGGCGTAGAGCCCTCAGCACATCCACCACCACTCCCCTTAACACCTGCACCCGCTCATTGCTTCTGCTGCCGCCGCTGCTACTGCCAACGCTGCTGCTGCCACCACTGCTGCCGCCGGAACCACTGCCGCTGTCCCCGACAAGTCTTGGATCAGCCCTATCCTCCCAGAAGAGGCACTCTTTCTCGTCTGACAGCCACAACAGCAGCGACTGGAAGCGAGTGACTATGGCTCCCACAGAGCCTGCTAGGCCTCGTTGGGAGAGGAGAGGAGGGAGGGTGTGCGGCAGGAGGAAGACTGCTGCCGTGGGGCTGGTGGGGAGGAGGAGGCGGTCGGGGGAGAGGCGGGCGAGCATGAGAGAGAAGAGCTGCAGAGCCTGCTTGGGAAGGAAGGGAGCACAGGTGGGAGGAATGGAGGAAGGTGAGTCATAAAAGGTATATTTTTTCAGGTAGCCTTTGCCTCCCATGAAGAGCCTTGATGCTTTGTATCCTAACGAGCCTGCTAGGTTGAGATGGGAGGAAGACTGCTGCCGTGGGGCTGGTGGGGAGGAGCAGGCGATCGGGGGAGAGGCAGGCGAGCATGAGAGAGAAAAGCTGGAGGGCCTGCTTGGGAGGGAGCACGGGTGGAAAGGGAGGGCGAAATGGAAATGTAGGAGAGAGGGGACAGGGATGAGGGGAAGGTAAGGGCATGGAAGCAGAGAAATGGCTGGTGGGGAGGAGCAGGCGGTTGGGGGAGAGGTTGGTGAGCATGAGAGGAAAGAGCTGAAAGGCCTGCTAAGAGGGATGGGCGATGGGGGAGGGAGGAAGAAGGGGGGCAGGGAGGACAAGGGGGACAGGCGGGGACAGGCGGGGACAGGCGGGGACAGCAAGGAGGGAAAGGAAACGATATGGAAACAGAGAGCTGGCTGGTGGAGAGGAAGAAGAGGCTGTCTGGAGAGAGGCGGGTTAGCGATTTTAATATAGCTAGAAAAAAAAAGACACTACAAAATAGTAATAATAATTATAATAGTATAATAATAATAATAACAATGGTGAGCAGTGTGAGCAGCATACCGTCCAGGGGTAACGGGCGATTTGAATGGAGTCAAGTGTGTCGAGAAGGAATGGCAAGCGATGATCCTCCGGTGCTGCTGCCACTGCACTGGCAAGCTCCACCAGTAGCCACGTGTAGGTTGCTGGTGAGGAATTAGAGTGGGTAGAAGGGGAAAGAGAGGGAAGAGATAGACAGGGAAGAGATTTGCTGCATGTCCCTGCTATGCTGCATGCCCCTGCTTTGCTGCTTGCCCCTGCTATGCTGCATGCCCCTGCTATGCTGCATGCATATTTCCAATCTTACCGCCACATCGTTCAAACGAGGAGGGTTCACTGCTCTCACGCCAAGTCATCATCCCGAGCTGACCTGGCAGCGGGTGCTCGCAGAGAAACACGCGGCATGGTGCCACGTCAGCAAGGGACAGGTGGCGCGGGTTGACTCGCAGGAGGTGCAGGCGCATGGCGACTGCACGGACAGCTGCTGGGGAGAATGCGAGGCGGGAAAGGTGGCTACTGGGGGAGGTGAAAGGTGCTGGTGATGCTGCTGCTGCTGCTGATGCTGCTGATGCTGCTGCTTCGCCTGATGATACTGCTGATGGTGTGGGAATCTTGAGCATCACCAGCACGTCTTCTCTCCGCATCACTCCAAGACACTCCACCGCCGCCCGCCACTCGGGACTCTCATCCAGCGGCCAGCTGTCGCCCTCCCATTGGCCGCCCACCGGCACAGCCTCCCTCGAATCCTCCCTCAATTCAGGGACTTGACTTTGACTTTGACTTTGGCTCTGGCTTGGGGATATCCGCACGGGGCGTGGCAGGGGGAGAGATCTGAGGAGCTCGCTCACACACGCCCACGCCGTTGCCTCCACCATCCCTCCCCCAAACTGCTCCCCAATGCTGTTACTGGAATATGCCTCCCCACCACCCCCACTTCTGCCACCGCCACTACCAGCAGCATCAGCAGCGGCACTTGCACCAGCACCAGCAACATCACGCCTCCAGGACACAGCAGCATCAGCTCTAGACACAAAAGTCTGCGTTTCTTCCGCTGCCTTCTCTGGTCTATCTTGAGAGCAAGAGGCGGATAGAATGTCTCGTAGGCCTATCCAAGCCCATACCCTCACAGCAGCAGCTGCAGCTGCAGCCTCCCCTGCCTCTCTCAATGCTACTCTTGCGCTGGCTGCTGGTGCTTCTGCTTTTGCTTTTGTGCTGGCTGTTGGTACTGCTAAAGCAGGCGCTGCTGCTGCTGCTGCTGCTGCTGCTAAAGCAGCAGCTGCTGCTGGTGCCGCTGCTGGTAGCGTCGGTTTTTTCCGGAACCACTCTGAAGTGGCTTCTTCTTGCGCTTCCTCTGATGTTACCCCTGACCCTTCAGCAGCAGCAACACCACCGGCAGAAACAGCTGCACCAGCAGCTGCACCAGAACTAGCAGCGGAGGCACAAGCAGTGATAGCGGCAGCGGCGGCAGCAGCGGCAGCAGCAGCAGCGGCGCCAGAAGCAGCAGCCATGTACGTCCTCACCAGCCCCATCACGTCCCTCAGAAGCTTCCGGGATCTTTCCTGGGAGAACAGCCCCGCCACGGCCGCCAGGTGTCGCGACAGCAGCGCGCGCTGCACCGCTGGCGCCAGCTGGACGAGCCTGCTGACGTCAGCGGTGAGGTCATCGAGGAAGGGGACGATCCCACGGTGGGCGGCAAAGTGCAGGCACGCACAGCGTAGGTTGTCTGCATCTGCTTCTGCTACCCCTCCTGCTTTCGAAATCCCTCCTGCTGCTGACCCTTCAAGAGACCCTGCTGCTGCCTCTGCTGATGCAGTAGAAGAGGGAGGGAGGAGCAGCAGAGCAGCATGGGAGGCGGGGGTAGTCCCAGAGGTTCGACGGAGGAAGCGGTGGAGGATGGAGGGCCAATCAAGGGAGGGGATTCGAGGGGCATGGGCGAGGAGAGCCAATGAGGACGCGACAGCTGGCACGCTGGCGGCGTCCTGTGCGTTGGGGAGAAGGTGAGGGAGGGGAGGGGAACGGAGAGGGGAGGTGAGGAGCGGGCATAGGGGGGAAGGAGAGCGGTTCCACGTTGATGTGTGCAAGCACTTCGACTTTTTAGCTCTCTCACACTCTCGCGCTACTACCCATACGCACTCATTCACTCACTCCCTCACAGTCAACCCAAACACTCACCCAGAGACTGCCTGCTCCTGCCCCAACGAGTAGACTCCTCTCCAGCAGCCAAGAAGCCAGCAGTCGCACCACATTATCAGCAGAGCCTGCGAGTCAAGGCACTGAACCAACACGCTTTCCACCAAAGCCCCCACAACACTCACTTACCCCCACAACACTCACTTACCCCCACAACACTCACCTACCCCCACAACACTCACTTACCCCCACAACACTCACTTACCCCCACAACACTCACTTACCCCCACAACACTCACTTACCCCCACAACACGCACTTACCCCCACAACACTCACTTACCCCCACAACACTCACTTACCCCCACAACACGCACTTACCCCCACAACACTCACTTACCCCCACAACACTCACTTACCCCCACAACACTCACCTACCCCCACAACACTCACCTACCCCCACAACACTCACTTACCCCCACAACACTCACTTACCCCCACAACACTCACTTACCCCCACAACACTCACTTACCCCCACAACACTCACTTACCCCCACAACACTCACTTACCCCCACAACACTCACTTACCCCCACAACACTCACTTACCCCCACAACACTCACCTACCCCCACAACACTCACCTACCCCCACAACACTCACCTACCCCCACAACACTCACTTACCCCCACAACACTCACTTACCCCCACAACACTCACTTACCCCCACAACACTCACTTACCCCCACAACACTCACTTACCCCCACAACACTCACTTACCCCCACAACACTCACTTACCCCCACAACACTCACTTACCCCCACAACACTCACTTACCCCCACAACACTCACCTACCCCCACAACACTCACCTACCCCCACAACACTCACCTACCCCCACAACACTCACTACCCCCACAACACTCACTTACCCCCACAACACTCACTTACCCCCACAACACTCACTTACCCCCACAACACTCACTTACCCCCACAACACTCACTTACCCCCACAACACTCACTTACCC